ATATATATATATATATATATATATATATATATATATATATATATATATATATATATATATATATATATATATATATATATATATATATATGTATATATATATATATATACATATATATATATATATACAAAATTTCTGAAAAACAAACTAAAAACTGAAATATTTAAAGATTTTAAATTGCAAAAAAAGTTATTTTTGAGATTTTTCATAAAACACCTAACAAATTACATTTAGTACCCAGTGGGCACACGACGTTATTTCGACGTTGATTTACAGTTGATTTTTAGTCGCGACGTCGTATAACCAAAAATAAACGTTGTATCTAGTGATCGACCGAAATTCGGTTCGGTTCCGGTTCCAGTCATAAATTTGGCCGGAATCGAAATTCCTCTTTCGGTTCCGGCTAGATTTGAGATTTCGGTTTCGGCCGGAATTTCGGTTCTAAATGCTACCGAAAATAGATATTATAAAACTTTATTTTAAATAAATTATTTAGCATTGTAGCGTAAATATATTTTGATTAAAAAAATTTAAATAATTTTTTTGCTAGTTATTTCAACTTCTTATATTATTTTTTGCGTCCGATCGCGTTGTTACTTTTATCTGGTTTTTAATTATCAAGTTTAAAATATCATGATCTACAAATTTAATGACGCTACAATGTTATCTACATTGTAGAGTCATATGTTTATGGACTTGATTATTTATTTATTTTAATTATCGCATGGAATTGGTAACGGTAAAATCTTTACGAACTTGGTGATTTTTTTTTAAATTATCACGTGGAATTTGTTTGAAATAAATTAAAAAAGTTTTTATTGGTTTCATTCATTTTTTTAAAGCAAGTTGTTTTAATGTTTTCTCGTCGTTAAAACATTAAAACAATAATGTTTTCTTGTCGTTATAACTTTTTTAATGTTTTCTCGTTTAAATTGTTAATTGTCTTTTTAACGAACTTTTTAATGTAACGTAAGAAATTTTTCTTAAATATATATATATATATATATATATATATATATATATATATATATATATATATATATATATATATATATATATATATATATATATATATATATATGTATATATATATATATATATATATATATATATATATATATATATATATATATATATATATATATATATATATATATATATATATATATATATATATATATATATATATATATATATATATATATATATATATATATATATATATATATATATATTGTTAAGTTAACAACAATATTAATACAAATTAATATAATTAATAATTAATATAATTAACAAAGAACTTGTTAATTATATTTTAAATCCTTGTTCTTGACTCAAACTAGCAACATTAAAAAACTCATCTGATTAAGTTCTTCGATTTCATTCTAATAAAATGAGCTCAAACCGAAAAACAAGTTTAGTGTGGAAGTACTTCATAATTGAAGCAAACAATCCAAGAATGGTTCAATGCAAAATCTGCAACAGCAAAGTTTCAAGAGGATCTGACGACCCAAAAAAACAAGGATTAAGTGGACTCACGTCACACCTGAAGAATCATCATCCTGACATCAAACTTACGCCCGAAAAAGCAGAAAATCCAAAGGCAAATGAAGAAGCTGACTTAAATTCCAACAAGAGAAAGGCAGTTACAATCTTCAACATGCGATCAAAAAAACAAAGATCCGACATGTTACAATCTACAATTCCAAACTGGGTTCAAGCTTCTTCAAAAATTGACTCTAATTCTGAAAAAGGCCAAAAATTTCACAAGTCAATTTTTGAAATGATGATTCTTGACCTCCAACCATGGTCTATTGTCAATGATGCTGGATTTTTGAGGCACCATGCTCTTATTGCTCCAAATTTGCAAAAAATACTACAGAAGTTTACTGGATCCGACTTACGAAAAAATTAAAGTTGCTCTCAAGGAAAAGCTGGTTCAATCAGAAGCTGAAAATGTGTCTGTCTGCCTTGATGCATGGTCATCATTTTATCATGGCTATCTGGGAATGACTGTTCACTTTATTTCCAAAGACTGGAACCGTGTCAAATTCTGCATCTCTTGTTCTCCATTTGATGAAAGTCATACTGCAAAAAATATTTTCAAAGAGATCAAAGCAGCAGCAGAGGAATGGGAAATTTTTTCAAAAATTGGAGTTTGCTTAAGAGACAACGCAGCAAATGTAAAAGCAGCCTTCAATGAGCCAAGCTGTAATTATAAGTCAGCTGGATGCCTTAACCACTCCCTTCAACTTGTGATAAAAAAAGACCTATTATCAGATCCTACCATCAACGAACTGATTGAAAAGAGTCGAAAACTTTGTTCTTACGCATCCCATTCTATTGGTTTCTACACTGAACTTTACAGACAGCAAGAAATCCAAATGGATAGAAAAGACAGACTTGGCTTAAAAAACGATGTTGCCACAAGATGGAACTCTACCTATTACATGCTTGAGCGAATTTTACACCTGAAACCAGCCATTGCTGCAACCTTACTCAAATTTCCTTCTGTGGGAATTGAATTTTCCGTCCAAGATTGGAGCCTCTATGAAAAAGTGGTGAGGATTTTAAGTGTTTTTGAGGAGGCAACAAAAATGTTGTCAGGTAGTGATTCTTGTATCAGTTCCTGCATTCCAATTGTGACAACAATAATTAAAGCTTTGGAAACAACCTCCGGCGACGTCAGTGTTCAGAAATTGAAAATAGCTATGAAAAATGCAATGGAAAAACGTTTTTCAGCAATTGAAAAAACAGAACATTATTCAGTTGCTACTTTACTTAATCCAAAATACAAATGGTATTTTTTCCGATCTCAAGCTGCTTTGCAAAATGCCAAACACATTGTCATGTCCCAAATGGAGAATTTTGAACCTCTTGAAGATGAATTGGCTCCTGTTACTCAAATTCCATCTGGTGACAATGAAAAAAACACGGCATTCTCGCACATAATGTCAAAAATTATTGCACAGTCTCAAACAGGACCAAATGAGCATTCATGTTCCAAAATGACGAGGGAAGTGTTGAAGGATTTTTTGGATTGTCCAATGGCTTCTCATTGCCTAGAATTTTGGAAAAACTATGAAAAAAATGCGACTAGCAAAATCAAGTTAGCATTGACTAAGGTGGCAAAAAAGTACCTCACACCACCCCCAACATCCACAGATGTTGAAAGATTGTTTTCTACGGCTGGAGATATTCTATCTAACGAAAGAAACAGACTCCTTCCAGAAAATTTGGAAAAACTCCTTTTTTGTCGAGAAAATCTTGCAGTTGTTGGATTCTGCTATTAATCATTTTTTATTAATTTAACTTTGTGTTTTAAATGGAATAAACTTGCAAACAAAAACTATTATTTATTTTCGGTTCCGGTTTCGGTTTCGGCTCTGGTTAGGGTTTACTTTCGGTTCCGGTTCCGGTTAGGAATATTTAAAATCTATTTTCGGTTCGGTTCCGGTTCCGGCAAAATTTCAGTGCCGGTCGATCACTAGTTGAAAAATTTGTTTAAAACTATCACGTTGATTTCACGTTAATTCAACGTCTATATTACGAGTTCGATCGTTCGTAATTGCAATATGCAATAAATTAAAATACGCATTCGTGACTTAAAATTTTTTTTATCAACACAACAAATAACAAGTAAAGACTCAACAAGTTACTTATTAGCCCAATAAAAACAAGTAAAGTCACACATGCTAATAAATTAGGTCATCTCTTGCCTTTTTATAAGGTTTTGAATTTGACAATTTAACAATAATACATGGCTTAACTTGTGATTAGTTAGGTAAATATTAAATGGATATTTCTTTATGACCGTATTATTTCATGAGTGTGGATTACAAGTAGTGACTACTTGATATATTATATAAATATAAAATATATATTATATATGTTTTTCTTATTTATATATATATATATATATATATATATATATATATATATATATATATATATATATATATATATATATATATATATATATGTATATGTATATATATATATATATATATATATATATATATATATATATATATATATATATATATATATATATATATATATATATATATATATATATATATATATATATATATATATATATATATATATATATATATATATATATATATATATATATAGTATATATATTTATATTATGTATGTATATATACATATATAGTGTATGTATATATTATATATGCATATTATATATATGTAAACACATATATATATATATATATATATATATATATATATATATATATATATATATATATATATATATATATAATATACATATATATAATATGCATATATAATATATACATACACTATATATGTATATATACATACATAATATAAATATATATAATGGATGATGTTTTACAAAATAATGATTTATCAAGCTTTTTTACCAATCCATGTGACTTAAAGAGTTTGAATATTTTTTATATTAAAAAATTTTTATTAAATTTTCAAAGATTTTTCTTGTAAAGTTGTATAAAAAAGAATTTGTGCATGCTCCTTTAGTCCATGATATTGGTTGGTAGAAGGATCAACATAAAAATTTAGCAAATTTTAGCAACTGTATAATGTATCATAACGTGCAGTTTAAAGTTGTATTTTTCTGTTAGCTATTTTACATGAACAAATTTTTAATATATAAGTATTTTTTCTATTATATTTTCTACTATACTTTTCCAGTTGAAAAAGTATTGTAGGGCATGCAAAATGTTCATTCGAGCTGTTTGATTAGAAAATACAGAGAAATAAAAAGAGAAAATTCGATTGATAATTTTTTGTGCTGGCCATCATCATTAAATGTAATAAATTGTTTCAATGAAATGCATAAACCGCATCTAACTAATACAGATTTACGCTGCTCAAAATTAAATATCATGGAGATAATGCAATTTTTTTTAAATATAAACCTTGAGTCATTACTTTTTTTCCTTGTTTTTTTAACATGCTTTCATTCTGTATATGTTGTTTTTAGTGTTTAGATATATTCTTTATTATATGTTCTTTATTATATAATGTGTTTAAAACATTTTTAAATTGAATGAATATTCTTAGATCATGAGTTATGTAATAAATTTGAATTTGCCTCTACTAGTGATACTCAGATAAAATCAGGTTCAGAAAACGGTAACTATTTCAAAAGATACTTTATTCAAGTATTATTTGTTATATTTTAATATTAATTTTTAGAGGAGCCACTACCATGCAAGAGAAAACATAATAACCAACAGAATAGTAAGCAAATATTTACTCCTGTGACGCAAAAAAAAGAAACAAAAAACAATTTTTATGCATACTCCACATACTGTAGCTCAAGGTATTAATTGTCTGTCTGCAAGTTGATTTAGGAAGAAAAGATTTTGAACAATTTTTTCTATGTTTCAGTGATTTACACATTTCTTTGGTTGCTAAATTAATACATTTTATTTAATTTATGAATAATGTTTTATTTTATAAATTTTTTGTTCTTTGTTTCAACGCTTTTAGAAATTAATTAATGTTTGGTTCTTTTGTCTTTCTGATATATCTTTATTGTTAGAAAGAGATGTTAGTAAAAACTATTTCCAGTAATTAAAGTAATATCATGACAAATAGTTCTGAAATTCTATGGATGAACTTGCAGCAGTAATTTAATGATTATGATAACAGTTTAAATGATTCTTGGTTGAGGTCAGAAGTGATGAGTTGTTTCAAACCATGACTTTTTGCAGTTTTTTTTTATTGTTTTTTGATTAAGTATTTATTAATAACTTAGCCTAAGTTAATCTACTTGTAACTTTTTAAAAATGTACTTTAAAAATAATGTGGTGTAATTATTTTCTTAAACCTTTAGGTTAACAAACTTTCTAAAATTGGAGGTAAAACCATTAAGACAAATACAAATAAATGTGATGCAAAGGTTTGTTAAAAGTAGTTTTAAATAAAAAATCTTTTGAATCTTTTTATTATAGTTTGTTTTAAACTTGTGTTAAAAATCTGTGTAGCATATATTTTTAAAAGTTTGACGAATTCTAATACATATTCAATTCAGACATAGAATAAATCTTTTTTTTTTATGTCTGATTATAATTTTTTTTGTAACTGTTTACTCTTACTTTTGTATTTCCTTGAGCTAAAGAACAACCTCAAAGTACAAAGGTTGATTTGTAACGCATACTTAACCTTTTTTTTTACTCTATATATACATACATATATATGTACATAAATAAGCATACATATATATGTATGTATATATACATACATATGCTTATATGAATATATATATATATATATATATATATATATATATATATATATATATATATATATATATATATATATATATATATATATATATATATATATATATATATATAATAATGGTGCAATTTAAAGTTTTTTATTTTTTTATAAAGTTGTACTTGATAAAAATAAATAAATAAAGTTGAACATTTTGAATATTTATTGGTTATTATGATAAATTATATAAAATATATATAAAGTATAAATATTTTGCAAAAACACTTTTATTTGCAATAACTGCTTCATTGCATTGTGGCATGCTTGCAATTTATTTTTTATAGTTTTTGTCAACTCTGGGTTATTATGCCAGATCTTGATAATCTCTTCTATAAGATCTTGCTTATTAGTAAGATTTTTTTTTTCCAATCTTTTGCTTTACTATTTCCCAAAATGTTTTCTATGGGGTTAAGATCATGCGAATTGTCTGGCCATAGCAATACATCAACTAAGCCATAACAGATTTTATTGTGTGGCATGTTGCATCATCTTGCATAAATATAAGATTTTTGACATTATTTTTAATATTTTTGAATTTTTTTTGTCACTTTTTGACTTTTTTGGCTGGACATCAGTCCCTCTTCTTTTAGCCTTCTACAAATGGTCCAGTCTAACACAACAATTACAGCTTCATGGGTAAGCTTAGTGGCTTTTTTTCTGTTTTACAGGCAGATATTTCTGATTATACTGTCCGCTCTTGGTGTTTTCTTGCGTTTAGAAGGTGGTCTCCTTGGACCAAACTCTTTCCCTGTATCAATTCTTTTTCTTACTTGCATTACGGTTTGGTAAGAAACCTTTGCGGTTTGTGCAATTTTTCATTGAGAATAATTTGTATTTTGGAAAAGACATTTAAAACTTACTTTTATTATAAGTAGGAAACCAATATATTCCTCCAGAAAGTTGATCACCAGATTGTCTTTCCAGAATAACTAACAAAGAATGACAAATCACCAGGGGCTAGACACCCCTTTGCACCCCTCAGGACAGCCCTGGGGAACATGGGTGAAAGAATTTTTATATCTTTAAATATTTTAGCTGCAAATATTACTGATAGGCCAATAGTGAATACTGAAGTTTCCATTTCTAATGATAGTATTGGTGTTAAAATTGCTCCTGCCATTTCACCATCGACATCATTTAATTTATGAGAAAGGGCTCCTGTGAGTTTACCATCAATATTATTTATTGTTTTACCTAAATAATGCGACCTCATTCCAAAGCCAGGTTAAGAATAACAACTAATACAAAAAAACACATAACAGGTGTAAAAGAAAATTGCATATTTTAACTGATACACCTAAAATAACAAAACAGATTATCTTTTAGTTTTTAAATGATGAAAGTTGTGATGAAATTTATTTTGGAGTAAATATACTTACTTTAAGTAAAGTTTTTCTGAGTTTTTTAATCATCAAGTTGGCCGAAATAAAATAGATAAAGCTAGATAGAGCCTAGATAAAGCATAGAGGCTTTATTTAGCAGAAGTTATAGAAGTTGTTGGTATAGTTTATAAAATTAAGTATTATAAGAAATCAGGAGACATTTGTAATAAATTTATATGAGAGATTTTACCATTCTACAGAATCTAAATATACATTATTTCTTCTAAGGCTTGTTTCTAATAATAAAAATTAATTTTTAGTTTAACAGGTGTTTCGTTTTTTTTATATTTAGTGTATGACAGCATGCAACCTTAATCAAACTTTGAACCTGACAAAGTGTCTCATAACTTGTAAAGTATGTTGAACTTTTTGTTTAAAAATAAAGTTTTTTTATTAGCTTTTTTCAGAACTTTTTATTGATTAATTTCTCTACTTTGTGTAAAAATTTCTTTATAAAGTCTTTATGATATTTGAAAAAAAAACTTTTATAGCAATTTTTGTAGGAGTCTTCAGAACTTTTATAAAAATATTATTATTTTTATAAAATTTTTTTCAAAAGTACATAAAAATTAAAGGAATTTTTTCCTCATTAAATTTTATTTTAGAATTATAATTTGTGTGAACTTGGTTGTTTTTTCTACAGTCATATTAAAGAAAATGACACTGGTAAATATAAAAAGTTTGATATTATTTTTACTTAGTTTTAGCAATTTTTAATGTAACTGTAATAATAATAACAATGTATAATGCAGGTTGTTGACTAACGGTTTATAATCAAAATTTAATATGGCTGGCGGTAAAGGTAAAGAGAAGTTTAAAGGAACAAACATTAGGTATTTACTTGTAAGTTAAGTGTAAAATTATATATTTTTTAAAAATCACAGTTCGTTTTTTTAATGCTATTTTATTTTTAACTTTTTGATGTATTTGATGCAAATTACTCAGGCAATACCTTTTTTTATAGAGAGCGTTTTGTCAATTAAAATGACTGCTACAGTTACCGAAATAAGAAAAGGAATAATGACTTTATTAAAATACGCACTCGACAGATCAAATGGTGGTGATCGGCGCGTAAAAGGCAGTTCACCCGATGTATAACATTCATACTTATTCCTAGTTGTTCTGGAACTATTGATAATAGTTATTATTGATAAATTGATAAATATATTGCTGATAAATAAAACTTTTTTTTTTCAAACATTTTACTTTATTTGCATTGTATATAAAGTCCGTTAAAGCAATTTAGTTGTATCTGATTAATTTACGTGAAATATAATATCCTCTGCGCAAATTATTGCTTTTTTATTGTATTATTTTATTGCAATTAAAGTTGAGATAATTTTTTAGTTAATTGGATTTAACCAAAATAAAAAACAAAAATCAACGTTGAATTTACGTTGTTTCAACGTTGTTCTAACGTCTTATCAACTACGTATCAATCGAATATATCACCTATTCAAAGTTGAAATATGGTTGATATATAGTCGATAAGACGTTAGATCAACGTTGAAACGACGTAATCATCGACGTTGTTTCAACGTCGTAGTTTTCGACGTCGGATTTTATTTCCAATTCAACCAAATTTCAACGTTGTTTCAACGTGGTATATGGTCGGTTTGCGACGTTGTTTCAACGTTATTTCAACGTCATTGTGCCCACTGGGTATTTTGTATAAATAAGTTTATACAAAATACTTAATATTATTTACTCTTTTCGGACTTAAAAGAAACACTTCTGAATACAATAGCTTAAAAACACAATAGAATCTAACAACTCAGGCGAACCTCGTAATCTAGAGAGTTTCTAAAACGTCGAATTCTAAAACGCCGAAAAGCCGAAATGCCGAAAAACCATCTTGGAGTAACAGAATAAAAAACGGAATGCGAGCAAAGAACAACCGGTAGTCAACCCCCGCATTATTAGTTTAAATTAATGTTTTGGTTAGCAATATATAGTAGAAGTCAAAAGTACGCCTCGTTTTCAAAATTGATTCGGTCGCCGTAGTAATAGTTTGTGTAAAACTAGTGACTTCTATTCTAATTTTTTCGATTGAAATCTTGCGTTGTACTTTTGACTTCTAGTGTAAGAATAATAGTTATAGTATAAAACTAGCGATGTATTTTTGACTTCTAGTGTAAGATTTATACCTTTAGTATAAAACCAGCGTTGTACTTTTGACTTCTAGTGTAAGATTTATAGTTATAGTACAAAACTAGCGATGTACTTTTGACTTCTAGTGTAAGATTTATACCTTTAGTATAAAACCAGCGTTGTACTTTTGACTTCTAGTGTAAGATTTATAGTTATAGTACAAAACTAGCGATGTACTTTTGACTTCTAGTGTAAGATTTATACCTTTAGTATAAAACTAGCGATGTACTTTTGACTTCTAGTGTAAGATTTATACCTTTAGTATAAAACCAGCGTTGTACTTTTGACTTCTAGTGTAAGATTTATACCTTTAGTATAAAACTAGCGATGTACTTTTGACTTCTAGTGTAAGTTTATACCTTTAGTATAAAACCAGCGTTGTACTTTTGACTTCTAGTGTAAGATTTATAGTTATAGTACAAAACTAGCGATGTACTTTTGACTTCTAGTGTAAGATTTATACCTTTAGTATAAAACCAGCGTTGTACTTTTGACTTCTAGTGTAAGATTTATACCTTTAGTATAAAACCAGCGTTGTACTTTTGACTTCTAGTGTAAGAATAATAGTTATAGTATAAAACTAGCGATGTACTTTTGACTTCTAGTGTAAGATTTATACCTTTAGTATAAAACCAGCGTTGTACTTTTGACTTCTAGTGTAAGATTTATAGTTATAGTACAAAACTAGCGATGTACTTTTGACTTCTAGTGTAAGATACATCTATTGTAAGAACTGACATCTACTGAAAGATTTATACTTTTGGTATAAAACTTGTACTTTTGTCTATAATTTAAATTATTATCATTATTTTTATTATAAAAAATTGTAACATAAAATTCCAAAAACTTGACAAAAAGCAATAATTAGTTTTCTAATGTAAAGAAGTAAACACAATTGCTCTTACCGCAATAGAGTTGAGTTCGACTTGTTTTTCGAAACTGTTGGCTAATGATCAATTAAGTAAATTTCAAATCATAAAAATTTACTAAATTAAAACCATATATCAACATTAAAACCATATATCAACATTAAAACCACATATCAACATTAGGCTAAAAAAAACAGTATAATAGTAAAGATTAAAATTTAAAATAATCCAAAAAACTTAATTAAAATTAAACTTTAAAATATTCAATTTTAATTAATGAAAACACATTATTAAAAAGTTAAACTGTTAAAAAACTCAAATGAATATATTATTTTGTTATGATTAATTGTAAGAACTAAAATATGTTGAATAAAGCCGTTGAATTAAAAAAAAATCTTTTTTAAATAAAGCAAAGAATAGTATAATTTAATAGAGAATAAATAATTATGAAACTGCACTTGCACAACAATAACAAAACCATGGTAATCTACGGTTCTTTTTAAAGAAGACAAAATCAGGAATATTTTCACACATTTTGTGGAACCACTGTTTACACCGAGAACACTGCGCCATTTGATTATTGTTATTTCTATTTTCTATGGGATTCCATGGCATTCTACAACTGCAAAACAGTTCAATAAAAATCTCTTTTTGAAAACACCTTTTGCAACTTGCTAGCGATTGAGGAAAAGAAGAAACTTTATTAACTTTAATGCAATTTAACATATGTGATCTCATCTCTGGTATAGAAAATGTTACATTGTCTGGTTTTGATTTTGTACTTACAATATGATAAACAAAAGCAATAGAAAAGACACCACAATCTTCACCATTTGACTGTTGTTGCACTGGTAATACACAAACATTTAACTTCTCATATGTGCATTTCATGATGGCACATATCTGTTCTATTGTATGATTTGCAATTTTACCATGAAACAGACTGTCCATCAAAAAAACCTCACCAGGTTTACAACTATATGTTGAAATTGCTACCCAGTGATTACAACCATTATGCAAAACTTGAACAAATGGTTTATTTATATGCGTACTAAAAGCAAGATTTTGTCCAAGCACAGTGTCTTGAAGGCCACTTACTTCTTTGAATTGGTCTTTTATCATGTTTTGAAATATATTTATAACATTGTCAGAAAGCCATTCATTGTTTAATATATCTGAAAAGTCACTCTCACTGAGATTTATTTTACTTATACAGTTTTTTTCATCTGAATCATTTTTTTTATCTGTATCATTTTCATCATCACTGAAAATGACTATGTTGTTATCTACAAACTCTAATATGTTTTCATAGTCAATCAAATTATTATTTATAACTTCAGTTTCTACATTTTTTTTTTCTGGGTTCAACGTTATTTCAATTTTGGAAGCTGCCAACAATTTCTCCTTTTTTTCCCCAACACGTTTAAATTGCATACTCTTTTTTTTAGGTGCTGGCAGCTTATGATACTTAATGGAGCATTTTGGTTTAGATATTTTTTTAATTTTATTGGGTAGTAGAGGTAAACAACTCTCTTTAGGTACAGCACTTTTCAGACTTGTGATGAGGTTGTTCAACTCTTTATATGTATTTTCAAGAAGCTCAGTATCATGATCAATTAAAAAACTCAGACTTCGTAAGTCACACAAGAGGCTTCTAATGGATTCACCTGTTATAGATTTCCTTCCTGTGTTGCTTACATTTTGAGTATCAGCCTTAACCGATGCTTCACTCACTTTATATGACTTGCTTACGTTTTGAGTATCAGCCTTTATCGATGCTTCACTCACTTTATTTGACTCTTTAGTAGTTACACTGGAATATGTTGTTGTACTGATTTTATCATTACATCCTTTAACTTTTGCGTTATCAAGATCAAAATCAATATCAATATTTAGATATGGAGACATTCGGTATAAAGGTGATATTGATTCCCAATTCCAACAAGGATAGTGTTTGAAAATGACAAAGAAATGCTTACAAGGATAACAAGAGTTTTTCCAATTCATGCAGGTACAACTAGGCATGTTGTCTTCATTTCCAAAAGTTACTACATAATTTCGTTCTTTATTGTCTTTATAATATCGCAATGAGAATTTTCCAGATTCTTCAACTTTAAGTGCTGTTATGTCTAAATTCTCAGCAAGTGATTTCTTTAACAGGCAATGCTTCACCATTAATCGAGGCCGATCTATCATCCAATCATCAATATCATCCGAATAACTCATGTATTTAGAGCTCATTAATCTATTGTTGTCTATATAGCTATAAAAACAAATAAATTGCAAAGTATGTATATTAGAAAATAGTTTAATTGCTGCATAATTAAACTAATTTTTATAAAACTGAAAATTGTGCAAAATAGCTAACTTTAACAAACCTCTCATACTTATCAGAAAGAAAATCGTCAATCACAACAGATAACATTCCACTAAGGGAACTATTTCTGTGATTTAGAAGATACTTATGCTTTAATGTGTTGTGTTGTCGCTCTACACCATTATTTGTATTACAATTTACCAATAAACGAGTCTGACGATATGCTTTCACCCAACGCTAATTATAAAGAGTAATTAAAGTATTTAATATCTGCCTTAATTGTAGTGGCCCATATACCTTATAGAGATAAAAAAGCAAACAAAAATTATACAGTTTTCCATTTGCAGGTTTCATTCAGCTCTCAAATCTCAACAAATAAAAACTTACATGCTTTATTGGTAACCAATATCTTGATAAATATTCTCTTAGAGCTTTGTTATTTATCCAATAAAAACAGTTTTTCAAATTATTTATTTCTGCTTCACATATCTCAACTGTGTCTGCACGTGCTATCATTCTAAGTAAGCATAAGATCTTTAACCTATCTTGTGTTAAGCCATTAGATTTTGTTTTCAGCCAACGGTCCCACGCTTGTTCTCTGTGAAAATCACATATGAATACAACACAACCTATAATGCATATTAGTATAAAATAAATAAGTAACTCTCCGACAATTCAATACAAAAAACATGTATCAAATTTTTTTCTTCTAAAAATAATATAAATTATTGCTTTTCATATTTATTATATATTATTATGACAAACTGTACTTGTTTTCACACACTCGTTAGTTCTTGTAAATAAGGTAATATTAAAGAGATGCACAGAGGTTTAGTGATGTTCATGGTAAAACAGCACTTTTTTTTGCCATTAATGTGGTTTAAAGAAAATGTATTAATTCTATAGTTTGAGAAATAGGAAAAGTAAAACTTAAAGTTACTTACCGACAAAAACCTTCTCTAAACTATTAATCTCTTCAACACAATAGTCTGACATTCCATACTTTGGATTTAAGTCATTATTCCAAGACTTAATATACAAAAGAGCCTCACTGATTGAATCCTCAGTTTCGTTTTCACATACAAATAATCCAACCACTTGATAATCAATATTGGTTTTTACCACAAAAAAGAAAAGCGGCAATGCATAACGTGTGGTACGATATATTGCATCCAATAAAACTAGTTCATTACCATATTTAGCTAACAGCCTCTTCTGCCATTTATTTTGATAGACAAAGAGCAAAGAGGTTTCACTTGCACCTGTTAGTTTCACATTATCATCTTCATGGTCACTGTCTACAGTAAGGTCTTTTTCAAAATGCCCTAAAATCAAAAAAAAATTGTTTTACTAAAAGCAAAGCAGAAACTATTTTTAAGAAAACTGTAGTAATAACAATAATTGATCAGCTGTGGTGCAGTGGCAGCGCACTTGCCTCAGAAACAAAGGATCCATGGTTCAAACCCTATCTCTGGGCAAGTTTTGCGACATCGGTTAGAAAGGAGGCGCGAATAAATGCTCATCCGCCATGCTCTGTGATAAGACAATAAGGACTTCTTGTGGCACCTAAATAAATATAAAAAAACAAAACAACAAACCTTTAGGTCTAAAGAATATACTTATAGTAGGATCTAATGCTCTCCATTCCTTAATTTTTGACTGAAGACATTCTTGATCAATAAGAGATTTACTTAATTTTCGTCTAGAAATTGTTATGTGATTGTGGATAGTGGAATTACGGGGATAAAATCTTTTATTTGAGAATTCTGGTAGAACATGACCGGCTTTACTGAAACTGTTTTTCACTTGGATTTTTAATAAGCGCTTCATTTCTTTTGTGCTCAATACACCTTCTTTAACATACATGTCAATAGCAGATACCAGTTCAGGGTCAATTCTCTGAGTTATACCAGCATCCTTATAGAAATTTGTAAGTATAAATGTATTTTCATATAATATACACACAAAAGAATATAAACATGGATAAGATCTAAACAAATTAATAGATTAAACTTAAAATACCTTGGTAATTATATGACCATTGTGTGCTGAAATATCTGGTACTGCAACACAAAATTTTCTGATTTGATAGATTTTTTTCTTAGATATCGCATATCGTAGCTCTTTTGATTTTGCTTTTCTATTTCTGACAGTATCCAATATAAGCTAAAAATAATAGAGTAGCATAAACAAAAGACATACATAATGTCTACATACACATATAAATAGATTTATTAATACATTGATTATAATCTTTTTTTAAACAGTTATAGCAAGTATAAACATGCCTATACTATTTTGAAAAAATAATAAAAGTTGCAATGAAATAAAATCTGACCTGACCAGAAACATTTTTTTAAAAGATTACTTTAACATCTTATTCAGGAGGTAGGTTTACAAACATTAAAACCTCCTACTTACTTTATATTCTGGAAATTCTAAGTATTCTGTTATGATAAGTTGAGCTGGGCAATCAAATTTCTTACAATTCTGTATTCTAGCATATTTTCTTCTGCAATCATGATCAATGTTCTATAAAAAGATTTTTAAAACTCAAATTTAGAAAAAAAAAAAATTTTTTTGTTAATTTTAAAATGAAATTTTTGTATGTTATAAAAAAAAATTATTTATTGCTTTAAATACAATTAACTCACTAATGCTTTTCTGTTTTGTTTGTTGTATTCTTTCCTACTTAAGTTTCTATCATATCCATGATGGCAATCAAAAATTTTTGTGCCAATCATCATGAATGGTATACCAGAAAACTCAATGGAATCAGTAGACCAATAAATTTTGTGGGGTTTTTTCTTTAAATCTATTTAAAAAAAGTCTAATTTTCAGAACTTGTTAAATAATAGTGGAATATTGTTTAATTTATCAACATATTAAAATACACATATACATAATTTAATGTTTATTATAACAGTTTTTCATTATTATAATAAATAACGATTATGAGGGTATCAATATCCCTTTGAAATTATTGTAAAAATAAATATATTTTAACAAATAGGAGTAAATCTATAAAAAAAAATTTATTAAAAAATATCTCAATATTGGTTTTTTTGATTTTGAGATAAGTATGCAGTATTGTTATATTTCATTAGATTTTCTATTTGGTCAAACTACGATTGATGCAGTTTATACAGAAATATCTATAGTTAATACAAAATTAATTTTTATTATTACCCAATGTATGGCAACAAATCAAATATTCAATTTTTTCTCCAGCAAACTGTCATATTGGCACTTATCATAAATTGACCAATAGCCACAGCTATCTTTCTATCTATCTATCTATGTATCTCTCTCTCTCTCTCTTTATATCTTTATATATATATATATATATATATATATATATATATATATATATATATACCTTAGCCAAGTACTAACAACTCTGAATTTAGGCTTTGGCCCAACTCTGTGATAACTCTGTGATAACTACTTTTGGCCTTGTGACAACCTTGTGATAACTCTACCTAAGTGACATTCTGAAAACCACATCCATCGTTTCCTCACTAAGAAAAAAAAATATGCAATGCATATTTTATTTACACAGTAAAATTTAAATTTTAAGTGTGTGTTTTTTCCAGATTTATAAGTACTTATATTAAAAATTGCGCATTTAATTACATTAAAGGATAAAAAAAAGTAATTGTAGTCGATTCTTTATAATAATATGTAACAACTCCGGGAGGGTGAACGATAATTTACGGCATCCGTTTCAATTTTGAAAACGAGGCGTACTTTTGACTTCTACTATATATTGCTAACCTAATGTTTTGAATTTTATAAAATTCAAAACATGTAAAATTAAAAAATATAATGTAGCAATAAGTTTTGTATTGCTGTGCCATCTATGTGTTGTATACCAAAATAATAGTGGGCTGCAACAACAAAAGTAAGTTTAGCGGAAGCTGCACAATAAGGGAAAAGCCTGTCACTAATGCCAAACATGCACAGTAAGATAAAAATCTGTTATCACAACAATAGGAAATAGTAAAATTTTCGTTGTTTTTCTTTCTATTTGTTTCTTTATTTTGTGTTAGCTAACACAGATTAAAGATTAATTAATCTTTAATCTGTGTTAGCTAACAAATATTAAGACATTAAACTTTAATGTTTTAATAGTATGGTTGACCCATCAGTTTGACAAACCTCAAGTACTTTTAACAGCCATACTTTCCTTTTATAAGCTAAAACGATTGCTAAACATATTTATTTTATTGAAAGTAAATATAGAGTAGTTAGTTTAGCAACAAAATTCAATAAAGTTTGTTGAAGAAACTTCAATGAAGTCTTAATAAGTATTCTAATTTGTTTTTTTGCTTGTTTGTTTATGTATAGAAAAATGACAAGGAATGCAAGCATTGGGAGAAGCTTTGAGCTTTGCAAAGTGCTGTATATGAAGGAAGGTACCTAAAGGTATGTTCTATTCAAATTATTATTGTAAAACTGTCTAGTGAGAAGAGAGTTCGTTACTGTATAGAAAAAAAAAGAATTAGTATATGAAGTTTAATAATTTGTTAAAATTGGAAAATAAACTTCTAGGCATGAATTTATTATAAACAGAACAGAAAATTTATGGAACACATTGCCATTGGAAGTTGTCAAGTAAACAAATGTAAACAGTTTCAAGAGAAAATTAGACAAATATTTAGTATCAAAAAAGTTAACTTAAAAATTATTTTTTGTTTAAACTATTCATCTTTTGCATTATATTATTGAATGTTATATTTTGTTATATATAAGTTATATTGCAGTATATTTTCAAAAACTGTCAAATTAAATTTCTAACTCACTTGCTGTTAACGCAGCTACAGTTTGACTACTACTATGACTATTATATATTTTTAAATGTTAGCATCAGTTTTTTCAGTAATTTTTACTATTTTGTTAATAATGCTAATATATATATATATATATATATATATATATATATATATATATATATATATATATATATATATATATATATATATATATATATATATATATATATATATATATATGAAAGATTTGTGAAATTTAACTACTCCTTTATTAGTTTTTGATTCTGAAATTAAGTAATTTCTAATCCGCATTGTTTCCAGTGGATTAATATTTTTCTTAGAATGCAAAACTTTCATTAGTTCTCTGAATTGTGACACTATTTTTGCATAACATTGCAAAGTCTTCACTTGTTACACATACAAGTTTTTATTTATGTTTTTAAATAAATTTAATCTGGAGTTGATAAGATTATGGCAATGTTTTTAAATTGTTAATTAGAATGTAGTTTTCTGAGAAAAGATAAAATAAATTGACCTATATCTTAATCAATTTTAATATGAAGCTAATAGAATAGTGTAAACTTTTTTTATGTTTTTTTGGAAATCATAATAAGATGTAGGTTTTATTAAATTTTTAAGATGTAGATGATAATTTTTAGATAGATTAGAACATTTACAAAAATTTTCCCAAATAAATATGACAGTTTTTACCATAACAATTTAATTTATGTATGCCTTTAATGTGTATTTGTTTTTACTAAGTATTTAATATTATTTTTATTACCTTTATTGTTATTTTTTTACTTAAATTTATCAACAAAAAAAGTTACCAATTTTTTTCTGAATTATATTTTGTATCTTTGAATGAATCTCAAAATTGAAAATTATGAAAAAGAACATTTCTTTCTCAAAATTCAAATTTATGGCCAACCAACAAGAAAGATCTTTGTTTTATGAGCAGAAATATTCCCTTCAACATTTAGAAAGTTTCAGACACCAATTTCAATTTGTGTTTCAAAATGACCACAACTATGCATTGCAAATAATTCCTGTTGATCAATCTTATTCTAATACAAACAATGATAAAACATCAACAGCTTATTTAAATAAAAATGCGAGCCTTAAAGATCAAAATGTAATTGAGGTTAATATGCATAATGAAACTTCTGACAAAGTTTTTATTCCACTTTCCATGACATCAGAAAAATTTGTGACATCAAAAAATTCAAAAGCAACTTTGAACATAACTGCAGCAACTCCTGCCATAACTAAAAAAACAGAGACACTTACCTTTAATGAAGTTCTGACTCTATTACAAAATGCTACTTATTTTAATAATGGAGAAGAAACTATACCTGTTCGTCCCAAAGCAGGAGAAATTTATGGGTTTACAATTTCCAGTGACAAAACATTAAAAAAGCATTTGCGAGCAGATGGCTATATGTGGAGGAACAAAAAAAGTTGTGCATTAGGAAATGGTTTAATCACTAAGACATATTTTTATGCAAGAGTTGGTAAAACATATACTAACAATTTTGAAAAGCATATATATATGTTGCAAAATGGAAAAAAAGCTGATTCATTACTTGGGCAATGAAAAATCATATGTTGATAGATGTCATGGAAATTCAACAAAATCAAAATCTTTTTTTTACAGATCATCGCATTATGTTTTTGATCAAGTTTTGGCTCAAGGGAAAAATAAACCCATGGATGCATATAGGAGCCTTTTATCAAATGACCTAGGTGGTCATATTTCAACTTCTATTATTCCAAGAAATCCTAAACAGGTTGCAAATATTATGACAAGAAATGCTAAAAAAAATAATTTTCATAATAAGGATGAGGTTTGGAATAGTCATCTTGTTGCGTATTCCATTCATCCATTTGTTCGAAAAATAGAAAGCTACCCAGACATCTGTATTGTTATGTGTTGTGAAAAAATTGTTGCACAAATGGAAGAAATGTTAGAATTACTACCTTGTAAAGAAATTACACTTCACTATGACACAACTTTCAATTTAGGAAATTATTATTTGTCATGCTTAGCTTATCGACACGTTTGTTTGGAAACAAAAAGGAATAAATACTTATATTCTTCGCCTACTGTTCCTTTTGCATTTTTTATACATGAAAAAAGATTAGCACAAAATCACAAATACTTTTTTCAAACATTAAAAGAAAATGTTTGCGGAAAAAATTTTAATAAATCCAGGAAGTTATTCATTTCTGATCGTGAGTTTGATGGCTCCCATTATTTTGATAATACAAAAAGTTTGGTATGTTGGAACCATTTATTGCAAAATGTAAAGGAATGGATGCGAAAGAATGGTAAATTTTCATCATCAGAGTATGATGAAGCTGTAAAAGCCATGAAATACATTCTTCGATCAAATTCTGTTTTTGAATATGAATCAAGACTTAAAAGTCTAACGAAAGGAAATATCAACCCTTGGAATGATCAAAATTTTCAAAAAAACTACATTCAATACATGCACTCTGATGTTATTTCTCGTGCTGCTGCATTTGTTTTAGCAGAAGAAGGGATAAAGTACCCAAACTTTGGTGTTACCAATAATGCGTCAGAGTCTTTAAATAAAGTTATTAAGGATCTTATTGACAACAAAATAACAAAAATGGACTCTTGCATTTTAGCTATGAATTATCTCAGTGCCTATTTTCACAGAGAAGTTGAAAAGGGATACTATAATGTTGGTTTGTATCAGTTAAGTGATGAGTTTGCCTTTATGTTAAGATCAAGAGATGAACTTAGCGCTAATCAAATCATCCTACCAGATGACATAGTAAAGCATATAAAAGAAACTGAAATACATTACAAAGATCATAACAATATTTCTTCTCCTTATGCTTCTATAGAGATGTTTGTTGAAAAACCAGTTAAAAGTGATCTTCCAAAACTTGTTTATTCAATATCCTCATTAGCAAAGGATATATTAAATAAAAACGGAGTTGTATTTGTTCCCCAAAATCGAAGTTGGTCAGTGAAAGAATCAGAAACAATTATTCATTCTGTAAATTTGAACCCACCGGCACATTGTACTTGTGGTGCCTCGAAAAATTGTGTTCACATTTTAGCAGTTCAATATCTCTCTGGAAATGTAAATAGTTTAGAACACTTTGAAGGGAAAAAAAGAAACTTAACTTCACTTATACAAAAAAATAGGCTTAAAGTTGAGAGAAAATCAGGCAAAAAAAACCCAAGGAAATGTGATATTGATTCGAATTTAAAAACATTGAATTTTTGTGAACTTGCAGTTCCAAAAAATGAAAGTTTCAGTATAAAGCAGAATGAGCAATCTACTGTGCCTGAAATAAAATATCCTATTCCAAGAGGACTTCAATGGGGTGTTGGTTTGGTTTTAAACAGTTGCACAATTGATAACACTTTAACAATGTTGAAGTTGCGTTGCCATGCAGATAAGTACTTTTTAAATCGCCTTGGTACTTCAGAAGCAGAAATAGAGCTTAAAAAAGCAATGAGATATTTAAATAATGATGATGACAATTATGGTAAAGAAATCTGGGCATGCTTTTTAAAAAGTAAAATACAAATTACAAGCTCATCTTGTTTTAACTTATATGGATCATCTAAAACATTTTTTTTCAACTACTTTAAAGAAGCATTTACATTCGAGAGTGTTGGAAAATGTTTTACATGTTTAAATAGTTCTTTTCATCCTTTTGATTTTATAGAACTGCCTCCAAACCATGACCCAATAGATTATTTGCTAGGTTATTTGAAAGATAAAAGATTGCTTCTAAATTGTTTAGTTTGTGGCAATAAAGAATTAAATCACTGTGGCACGACATTAAAATCTCAAAATACTTGGATGATTGTGATTGAGTGTGATATTCCTAACATTTCAATTTCTTTGCTGATGAATTTGCCAAAAAAAATTTTAATTGAAAAATGTTACTTTTCCTTGGCATGCATAACTCTTGGACTTAATGCTCACTTTACATCTTTGCACTACATAAGAGATCAATGGTTTTTTTATGATGGTATGCAAAAAAATGGAAAACTAACCAAGATGATACCATATAATTGGCAAAATAAAGTTGCAAACCATGTCATTTATCTTATTGATTAATGCTTTTTGAACTGATATGAATTGCACTGTAAAGTTTTAAGATTTTAGATTCATTTTTACTATATAGTGATAATATTATAACTAACACGATATATTTATGTTTTATAATAAAAAAGTTGTGTTTTTTTATTTGTTAGAGTAATTTCTGTTATTTATATATAGCTTTTGAAACACTTACAGTGAGTTTGCGAATAATTTGAAAGAAGTTTTAGTTAAAATTTTCCTTGTGTTAGATATTTTTTTATACCCATTTGTTTTCATATAGTATTTAGTTTTAATTACTTTTAGTAATAGTAGAAAAGAAAATGTTTTTAAAGTTGTTGCTTTTTTATCAATAAATCTGGTATAATTGGTATTGTTTTGTTTTGCATCATAATACAAATTTTCATAAAATAGTTATATATTGTTATATATTTTCATGTTATGTAAAACTTCTTTAACATAGATAGATTTATGTAACATAGACACCTGAAAATTGCGATATAGGTTGACATCTATTTCAAATGATATCAAAAATTAACTTTGAATATGGGTGTATGTAAAAACACTGGCAACCAGCTTGTATGCCAATATATAAAAGTCTCATTGACCCATGTTTCAGGTAAACAGCTTATAAGGTTTTTCTTTTTTATTGATAAATTCTAAAAAATAAATTATTTTTTAAAATGTATTTTAGTGTATGCTGATGTAGCTTCTAAAATGTGAGAGGGCAAGGAAATTAGACGTTACAGTACTTTTCACAAACTAATCTGGCTTTAGTCTATATACTACAAGAAGTAATAAGAAAAATCAATTTCAGAAGATTACCAATCCTTTCTTCCTGGCATCTTTCAAAAACTCTTAAAAGTGAATTTGGCATTGACAGGTTATATACTTTTTTTGTTGCTGGTACATAAGATATTTGTCATTTTTAAAATATAGACAACCCAATACTTTTCTTATTTTATATATACTGTGGGTGGGTGAAATAAAAACATTACTTAAGAAGACTTTTTACTCATTTATTCAAAAGTGTTAATTTATAAGGCATAAATTTGGCAGTGATTTTTATTTGACAATTGCTGTTTCAAATTTTTTTAAAACTCAATCACTTCATATTCAATCCAATTTATTTAGCCATATTATTAAATATTATGAAATATTTATTTATCTGTAGATACTAAATGGCGATAATTATGTTATATCAGCAAAACGAGTAATGAACAGTTTTAGTCTTCAACGGTTGAAATTACTCAGCAAACATGAATTCATTGAAGAAACTGATTGTCGTTGCTCTAGCATAAAGATCGTTGCACGATCGACTTGATAAAAGATGAAATTACTTATATATGTGATTAATTAAAAAAAGACAATTAGTTTGTAATAATCAGGTGAATGGTAGCCTTTATTATATGGCTGGTTGTGTTCAGCACAGGATGTTGTGCATAGTTAATGTAACAATATCAGTTTTTCAGTTCCAAAATTAAAAATTATGTTTCACATAGTAAATTGGGTTTTCTTACTCTTTTGCATTTTATTCGTTTTTGTTATATATTATTTAACAGTGCTCCAAAATATGAAAAAACGTTTTTTATTTGTAATTTTAAAGAAACTCTTTTTTTATTCCTACACTTGACATCATCAATTAATTTAGAAAGTAACAGTATCGGTGCTAAATAATTATTTCTCTAATAACTAACTTTTAAAAAAAAGTTTTAACATTTAAAAACTTATTACGGTCTATGTGGGTACCGCCAATATTTTTTTAATTCGCATTTTATATTTGCTATTACTACTAAAATTTTTAAGTTTTTATAAATAATGAGGCGATAAAATATATTTATTAATTACACAGGTCTGCAAATTAAAACTTTTTTTTTTTTTGGAATGGGTGAATTATATGTATTTTGGTATGCTGATTTCAATAATACCATCCATTTCGACCCATTACGTAAGGATTTTCCGCTAAGTCGAAAATAAAATATGGGCAAAGCCCGCCTTACACTACTATTTTAGACAATAATCATAAGAAGAAAAAAAATGGTAAAACTATGCAAATTTGGTTCATTTTAAATCATAAAATAATTTGTAACATTATATACAACTATAAAGCTTTATAAAATCTAGTTTTTTTAGTTTCGAAGCTTCGTTTAAAGCTATTTCTTTTGTGGGATGTTACATTTTCCCTATGCAGCATCCAGCAGTAGTCGCCCATCATATTTGTATCCCATCGACCTTGATGCCTTCTCTCCATTTCTTTTATATCTTGGTGAAACCTCTCACCTTGCTCTTCACTAACTGCACCAAGATTTTCCGGGAAGTAATCCAAATGGGAGTTCAAAAAATGGAGTTTTGAACTCATTGAGCATCCCAGATTTTTAGAATTGCACAACATATTTTCTACGATATTTTTTAAGTCCGAGTCTTTCTGATTCCCTAGAAAATTTGTTACTACGTCTTTAAAAGAATTCCATGCTGACCTCTCAACATAGTTCACCATATTTTCAAAGTTGTTATCTTTCATTAGCTCACGAATGTCAGGACCAACAAAAGCTCCCTCTTTCAGCTTTGCTTCAGACAGACCAGGAAACTTGCTTGAAAAAAATTTAAATGTCTCACCATCTTTTAGCAATGCCTTCACAAACTGCTTCATCATGCCAAGTTTGATATGGAGTGGTGGTAGAAGGACCTTTTTAGGATCAACCAAAGACTCAAAGTGCACGTTTTCATCTCCAATCTTCAATGTTCTTTTTGGCCACACTTTTTGCTTCCAGTGTTTAGTTTTAGCACGACTATCCCATTAACAAAGAAAAAAGGGTAATTTTTTGTAACCACCTTGCTGTCCAAGTATCATAGAAATTACTTTAAGATCCCCACAAACTGTCCACTCGAATTCTTTGTACTTTAATTAATCCAAGATCAATGCCAAGTTACAATAAGTTGCCTTCAAATGCACTGAGTGACCAACGGGTATTGATGCGTACTTATTCTTGTTGTAAAGTAAAAAAGCTTTTATTCTTCTTTTTGAAGAATCAATAATCTGTCTCCAACTTTCAGCCATATGTTGAACTTTGAACATGGATATTAACCCATTGTTATCGGAACAATAGACCATCTCACCATATTGAGGAAAATAAGGGCTCAAAATATTTATTTTGCAGATATGTTTTGAATAGCAGATTGTTTTGAGAGTCCTAAATCTCGGATCAGGTTATTTAATTCAGCTTGAGAAAAATGTTGAGGACTACTGTAGTCGCCTAACTGAAACTCGTCACAAGAACTTTCTTCTGATTCACTTTCTAATGATGGTAAATCATCTAGACTTTGGGGTGCTTGTGGTGTAGGAATGCCAGGTCCGTGAGGGACTGGGTGGAGTGTCGATTCCATGTTTGGAAAAAAAAATTATTTTTTATTTTTGGTACTATACCCCTGCACATAACACGAACAAAAGTAGCAGTCATCGCTGTGGTTTCGAGGCTCTCTCCAGATTATGGGTACACCAAAACGAAAAGATTTAACTTTACCTTTTGACCACATTCTAAGTTCTTCAACGCACCCTGAACAAACTCCATGCGGAGCCCAAAATTTGTCCTGATTGCCTATCTTCACACCAAGATACACAAGTACACATTTTTAACAAATTCAGTAATATTTCATTGTTGTTTTGTATATATCGGGATTTTCCATACTTACTATGGAAAATCCCGATATATATATGGTTCAACGCTTACTAATATTATCTTCATGAGTTAATAAATATTTTGTTTTAGCCTACGAAACATAAAGGTATCTTATAATAAGTTAATAAATAAAATAATAAATATTTTGGCAATAAACCCCGTTTTGCGCCCTAAAATAAACAATCCCACAGCATTTTGCGTTTTTTAGAAAAACCTTACATGATGGAATTTTTTTAATAACTTTTTCGAATTCAGCGACCTAAAATTTATAAGAATTAACTCTTTAATCTTAGAAAAAAAATATGTTGCAATTAATTGCCCGCGTATTTTAGAGATTACACGAGGCTTTATTCTATTTAATGAAATAATTGATGCGATTCAAACCCATATATATTTAAAACAAGGTATATTAAAAAAACTCTTTCTAAAAAGTCTTTAACTCTTGAATGAGACCAAAAAAGCTAAAAGGTATATTTTGTTCTGTCATTTGCGATGTTTCAATGTTTTGGTCTGTTTAACATCGCTCACAAAAGCTTTGAATGCGGGAAAAGATTCGTAGAAGGCGCAAATTATTGGTAGAGATTCTCAAAGATATCTTTTGTCAATGTTGCTCAGTGTGCAAGGATTCATTCTAAGATGAGTTTGAAGCCTACATAGAATATTTTCCAACCTCGTATAACAAGAAATATTATCATAAAAGATGTTCTCTGCTTAAGGACCAAGTTTGGTTAGAATTGTTGTAGTGTACCAGTAGTTTCTCTTACACAACAACAAGGGTTTTTATCTTTACACAGTTTTCTTGTGCAATTATTTATGAGAATTCGCTTGCTTTATGGTTCACCCTGGTCATAATGAATAACTCTAATTAAAAATTTTAATATTTAATTAGTTAATAATTTTTACGCAAATTTTTTCGATAACACAACTAAATATAAAATTAGCAAAAAAGTTTCAAAATAATTTTATAACATTAATTTTTATTTCGTCTCTTTTTCTATTTTTATTCGCGAAAGTTTGAAAGGACAGAACCAAAAGCCAAATTTGGCTTTTGCCCACTGATCTCTATAATAACTGGATAGCGCAACTCTGAACAAAATTTTGAATTTTTTGACGCCAAAATCGCCATATTGGAAAGCCCCAGATATTTGAATAAGTAAGCCTTTTAAAAAATAAGTAAGCCTTTTAAAAAATTTATTTATTATTTTCATTTTAAAAAAACCTTTAAGTAAGCGTTTGGCTTAGTTTTTCGACTAATCGCTTTAAAATCAGATTTCAGCTAAGTTGAATATACAATAATGTGCGGATTAAAAAAAGATCCCTGAGGTTCAGAGTGTTGTGCATATGGGTGCAAAAAAGGAAAAGAACTGAGGGTTAAAGAAGCAATATTTTAGGAAGTTAATATAATAATAATATTATTATCTACAATAAATCTTATATAGTTATTTTTATAGATATCAGTTCTTAATTAACATTCATATATATATATATATATATATATATATATATATATATATATATATATATATATATATATATATATATATATATATATATATATATATATATAAATATATATATATATATATATATATATATGTATATATATATATATATACATATATATGTATATATATATATATATATATATATATATATATATATATATATATATATATATATACACACACACAAATAGTTAGATACAAATGTAAATCAGTATGCACCTTTTGATTCTTAATTACCCTCTGCAAAATGCCTGAGTTTTATAACATATTTGCAAAGTAAACAGCTTATTCATTGTTGTATGAATCATTAGTTGGGCTATGTTAGTGTAACTCAACCCGAAGGTTTCTTAGACAGTAAATAGTAATTGTATATATATATATATATATATATATATATATATATATATATATATATATATATATATATATATATATATATATATATATATATATATATATATATATATATATATATATATATATATATATATATATATATATATATATATATGAAGACCACACGGGTAAAACCACAGATGTCCACTTTTTGAAAATTTCAAGTTTTATATATTTTTATGATATTTTAGTATTAACCTATTTTAATTTAAAAATTCATAACAAAAAAACTATGTTTTAAGGTTCTATGGTCATTTAAAAAAAAGGGCAACTTTGAAACAACCACTGTTGTCCAATGTTTACCGCGTAAAAAACAAGTTATTTTTAAATAAACCAATGATAATAAAAGCGTAAGTCACATGACTAACTTTTCGGATGAAGTAAACAACAGAAAAACATTTAAAAAAACATTTTGATTTTTTAAAATGTTTTTCTGTGAACGTGAATCGAATTTTTTTTATTTAAAGAGGGGGAGGGGGCGGTGGCTTTATTATCCCATCACACACTTAGTACGTTGTAGTTGTAAATTACAATGTGTTACCATCTACCTTAAAAAAAAATAAGTGCTCTAAAAGGTTACAATCTAACGTAATTTACGAGTTGATGAGTTTACAACGGAAAAACAACAGATGTCCAAAATGAGTGTCTTGTTTTCAAAAGAACATTGTGAATAAATAATACTTGTATTTAGCACAAAAACTGCGTTTTTATATTGTATAAGGACTAAAATGTCAGAAAAATATACTTTTAATTAAATAAATTATTAATAAACAGATATCTAAAGTCACTAAACACTAAATTTCATTTTTCTCGAAATGAGAAAAATGTGACATCTGTGGTTTTACCCGTGTGGTCTTCATATGTATATATATATATATATATATATATATATATATATATATATATATATATATATATATATATATATATATATACTTTAATAAAACATTTAATAAAACAATTACTGGCTGTTGTTTCAGAAATTACTAGATAATGGGTTACCCAAAAAACTTGTTAGTTTGCTTACATTTTGGTATAGTAATCAACAAATGTTTGTTCGATGGCAAAAAACAAAATCAAATAGTTTTAGAGTTGTCCCCACTTCTATTTAACTTTTACATACAGAATATGATTTTATTAATCTCAAAACTACATATTGGATGTAATATAGGTGGCTTATGCTGATGATATGGTTTTAATTGCACCATCTTGGTATTCTCATCAAAAACTAATTAGCTTTACAAATAAGGAATCTTCCTTAATTAACATATTCTTTAACACAAAGAAAACTGTATGTATGGTGTTTAACCCAACTCAAAAATTATATCAAACTCCTTCCCAGAATTATGCATATCAGGCTGTAAAATTGTTTTTGTTGAATCTTTTAAATAACTTGGCCATATAATTAAAAATGACCTAACTGATGATCTTGATATAACCAAGGAGATGAAGGGTCTTTACACACGTACATATATTTTAACTAGACACTTTCATTTATGCTCTACCAGAGTAAAGGTCAAATTGTTTAAATCATATTACATTTGTTTATATGCTGCTCCTCTGCAGCAAAATTATAATGATAAAACAATGGCACGCCTTCATTATTGCTACAACAAATGTGCTAAAATGTTTTTTGGCTACAACAAGTATGATCTCATGCTTTTAGAGCACAGATTACCATCTCTTTATACAATTATCTCGAACTACAGACAGGCTTCTTGTCAAAAGTTGATAGCTTGTTTCTTAGTAAATAATTCCATGTGTTCTCTTAATCAAAGTTAAAAAAAATATTTTTCTTGTAAAAACTATGGACCTGGCACCTAAATTGTATCTGCCTGTTGTCTGAAATATATTTATAATAATAATAATAATAATAATAATAATAATAGTAGTATATATATATATATATATATATATATATATATATATATATATATATATATATATATATATATATATATATATGTGTATATATATATATATATATATATATATATTATATATATATATATATATATATATATATATATATATATATATATATATATATATATATTAGTAAAAAAACTTATCTAACCAGTAAGAAATCTTTTTTCTTGGTTAGATGAGTTTTTGATGTTGAAGACAAAAATTAGATAAGTGTTTTAACTCTTTTATTATTGCTGTTCTTAAGAACATTGAGCACTCTGTACTTGCAAAATGCTCTAGAATAACCTAACATAATTTAAAAAATTAAACAATAATTATACCTGTATTTCTTTTATTTTCTCTTTTGTTTTTGAGTACAATATTTTACAAGATTTATTATTATTCAACCATTAATTATCAGGATACAGCTGATAAATGTAAGTTGAAATAATAATTACTTTCATAAAACTACATGTGTCTCTATATCTTTCATACTTTGATTGATGAAAAACAATAAACGCTTAAATATCTTGTAATGTATGTCACCAAAATAGCAGAAAAAGAACTTAGTAACAACATATAAACTTAGTAGTTATATAAGTTAAAGCTTTTCGTACTTTTTATAAGTGGGATAAAAGTTTGTGTTGCAGCAGAAATAAAACTTGGTAGTGTATGATTATCAATTTCAATCTACTATAATAAAGTCGATGATATTACTTTTGCAGTTGCGGAAGAAACCAACATAACCTGAGTTTTTTAAAAACTATGAAAATTTAAAACCATTTAAAAAATCTTTGATACAATATTTTTTTGTTATGTTTTACACTTATAAAGTTACTTTCTCACTGCTATTATAAAGTAAGATTGCATCAAGTTGTAACAATAAACATTCTAAAGTAACCAGAGTAAATATTAATTTTGACTTTCAGCAAAGTATATTGAACATAAGAAGATTAATAAAGGTAACAAGTTTATACAAAACAAATACAAATTATTAAACAGTCTGTTCTCTTATATTCTTTATTTCCATTCAACTCTAATTTTGTTCGTGCTTTTTTTTTTTTACTTTTTCAATTTTCAAACTTTCAAACATTTTAAAAATAACAATATGATTGAAATGGTTAGCAATATATAGTAGAAGTCAAAAGTACGCCTCGTTTTCAAAATTGAAACGGATGCCGTAAATTATCGTTCACCCTCCCGGAGTTGTTACATATTATTATAAAGAATCGACTACAATTACTTTTTTTTATCCTTTAATGTAATTAAATGCGCAATTTTTAATATAAGTACTTATAAATCTGGAAAAAACACACACTTAAAATTTAAATTTTACTGTGTAAATAAAATATGCATTGCATATTTTTTTTTCTTAGTGAGGAAACGATGGATGTGGTTTTCAGAATGTCACTTAGGTAGAGTTATCACAAGGTTGTCACAAGGCCAAAAGTAGTTATCACAGAGTTATCACAGAGTTGGGCCAAAGCCTAAATTCAGAGTTGTTAGTACTTGGCTAAGGTATATATATATATATATATATATATATATATATATATAAAGATATAAAGAGAGAGAGAGAGAGAGATACATAGATAGATAGATAGAAAGATAGCTGTGGCTATTGGTCAATTTATGATAAGTGCCAATATGACAGTTTGCTGGAGAAAAAATTGAATATTTGATTTGTTGCCATACATTGGGTAATAATAAAAATTAATTTTGTATTAACTATAGATATTTCTGTATAAACTGCATCAATCGTAGTTTGACCAAATAGAAAATCTAATGAAATATAACAATACTGCATACTTATCTCAAAATCAAAAAAACCAATATTGAGATATTTTTTAATAAATTTTTTTTTATAGATTTACTCCTATTTGTTAAAATATATTTATTTTTACAATAATTTCAAAGGGATATTGATACCCTCATAATCGTTATTTATTATAATAATGAAAAACTGTTATAATAAACATTAAATTATGTATATGTGTATTTTAATATGTTGATAAATTAAACAATATTCCACTATTATTTAACAAGTTCTGAAAATTAGACTTTTTTTAAATAGATTTAAAGAAAAAACCCCACAAAATTTATTGGTCTACTGATTCCATTGAGTTTTCTGGTATACCATTCATGATGATTGGCACAAAAATTTTTGATTGCCATCATGGATATGATAGAAACTTAAGTAGGAAAGAATACAACAAACAAAACAGAAAAGCATTAGTGAGTTAATTGTATTTAAAGCAATAAATAATTTTTTTTTATAACATACAAAAATTTCATTTTAAAATTAACAAAAAAATTTTTTTTTTTTCTAAATTTGAGTTTTAAAAATCTTTTTATAGAACATTGATCATGATTGCAGAAGAAAATATGCTAGAATACAGAATTGTAAGAAATTTGATTGCCCAGCTCAACTTATCATAACAGAATACTTAGAATTTCCAGAATATAAAGTAAGTAGGAGGTTTTAATGTTTGTAAACCTACCTCCTGAATAAGATGTTAAAGTAATCTTTTAAAAAAATGTTTCTGGTCAGGTCAGATTTTATTTCATTGCAACTTTTATTATTTTTTCAAAATAGTATAGGCATGTTTATACTTGCTATAACTGTTTAAAAAAAGATTATAATCAATGTATTAATAAATCTATTTATATGTGTATGTAGACATTATGTATGTCTTTTGTTTATGCTACTCTATTATTTTTAGCTTATATTGGATACTGTCAGAAATAGAAAAGCAAAATCAAAAGAGCTACGATATGCGATATCTAAGAAAAAAATCTATCAAATCAGAAAATTTTGTGTTGCAGTACCAGATATTTCAGCACACAATGGTCATATAATTACCAAGGTATTTTAAGTTTAATCTATTAATTTGTTTAGATCTTATCCATGTTTATATTCTTTTGTGTGTATATTATATGAAAATACATTTATACTTACAAATTTCTATAAGGATGCTGGTATAACTCAGAGAATTGACCCTGAACTGGTATCTGCTATTGACATGTATGTTAAAGAAGGTGTATTGAGCACAAAAGAAATGAAGCGCTTATTAAAAATCCAAGTGAAAAACAGTTTCAGTAAAGCCGGTCATGTTCTACCAGAATTCTCAAATAAAAGATTTTATCCCCGTAATTCCACTATCCACAATCACATAACAATTTCTAGACGAAAATTAAGTAAATCTCTTATTGATCAAGAATGTCTTCAGTCAAAAATTAAGGAATGGAGAGCATTAGATCCTACTATAAGTATATTCTTTAGACCTAAAGGTTTGTTGTTTTGTTTTTTTATATTTATTTAGGTGCCACAAGAAGTCCTTATTGTCTTATCACAGAGCATGGCGGATGAGCATTTATTCGCGCCTCCTTTCTAACCGATGTCGCAAAACTTGCCCAGAGATAGGGTTTGAACCATGGATCCTTTGTTTCTGAGGCAAGTGCGCTGCCACTGCACCACAGCTGATCAATTATTGTTATTACTACAGTTTTCTTAAAAATAGTTTCTGCTTTGCTTTTAGTAAAACAATTTTTTTTTGATTTTAGGGCATTTTGAAAAAGACCTTACTGTAGACAGTGACCATGAAGATGATAATGTGAAACTAACAGGTGCAAGTGAAACCTCTTTGCTCTTTGTCTATCAAAATAAATGGCAGAAGAGGCTGTTAGCTAAATATGGTAATGAACTAGTTTTATTGGATGCAATATATCGTACCACACGTTATGCATTGCCGCTTTTCTTTTTTGTGGTAAAAACCAATATTGATTATCAAGTGGTTGGATTATTTGTATGTGAAAACGAAACTGAGGATTCAATCAGTGAGGCTCTTTTGTATATTAAGTCTTGGAATAATGACTTAAATCCAAAGTATGGAATGTCAGACTATTGTGTTGAAGAGATTAATAGTTTAGAGAAGGTTTTTGTCGGTAAGTAACTTTAAGTTTTACTTTTCCTATTTCTCAAACTATAGAATTAATACATTTTCTTTAAACCACATTAATGGCAAAAAAAAGTGCTGTTTTACCATGAACATCACTAAACCTCTGTGCATCTCTTTAATATTACCTTATTTACAAGAACTAACGAGTGTGTGAAAACAAGTACAGTTTGTCATAATAATATATAATAAATATGAAAAGCAATAATTTATATTATTTTTAGAAGAAAAAAATTTGATACATGTTTTTTGTATTGAATTGTCGGAGAGTTACTTATTTATTTTATACTAATATGCATTATAGGTTGTGTTGTATTCATATGTGATTTTCACAGAGAACAAGCGTGGGACCGTTGGCTGAAAACAAAATCTAATGGCTTAACACAAGATAGGTTAAAGATCTTATGCTTACTTAGAATGATAGCACGTGCAGACACAGTTGAGATATGTGAAGCAGAAATAAATAATTTGAAAAACTGTTTTTATTGGATAAATAACAAAGCTCTAAGAGAATATTTATCAAGATATTGGTTACCAATAAAGCATGTAAGTTTTTATTTGTTGAGATTTGAGAGCTGAATGAAACCTGCAAATGGAAAACTGTATAATTTTTGTTTGCTTTTTTATCTCTATAAGGTATATGGGCCACTACAATTAAGGCAGATATTAAATACTTTAATTACTCTTTATAATTAGCGTTGGGTGAAAGCATATCGTCAGACTCGTTTATTGGTAAATTGTAATACAAATAATGGTGTAGAGCGACAACACAACACATTAAAGCATAAGTATCTTCTAAATCACAGAAATAGTTCCCTTAGTGGAATGTTATCTGTTGTGATTGACGATTTTCTTTCTGATAAGTATGAGAGGTTTGTTAAAGTTAGCTATTTTGCACAATTTTCAGTTTTATAAAAATTAGTTTAATTATGCAGCAATTAAACTATTTTCTAATATACATACTTTGCAATTTATTTGTTTTTATAGCTATATAGACAACAATAGATTAATGAGCTCTAAATACATGAGTTATTCGGATGATATTGATGATTGGATGATAGATCGGCCTCGATTAATGGTGAAGCATTGCCTGTTAAAGAAATCACTTGCTGAGAATTTAGACATAACAGCACTTAAAGTTGAAGAATCTGGAAAATTCTCATTGCGATATTATAAAGACAATAAAGAACGAAATTATGTAGTAACTTTTGGAAATGAAGACAACATGCCTAGTTGTACCTGCATGAATTGGAAAAACTCTTGTTATCCTTGTAAGCATTTCTTTGTCATTTTCAAACACTATCCTTGTTGGAATTGGGAATCAATATCACCTTTATACCGAATGTCTCCATATCTAAATATTGATATTGATTTTGATCTTGATAACGCAAAAGTTAAAGGATGTAATGATAAAATCAGTACAACAACATATTCCAGTGTAACTACTAAAGAGTCAAATAAAGTGAGTGAAGCATCGATAAAGGCTGATACTCAAAACGTAAGCAAGTCATATAAAGTGAGTGAAGCATCGGTTAAGGCTGATACTCAAAATGTAAGCAACACAGGAAGGAAATCTATAACAGGTGAATCCATTAGAAGCCTCTTGTGTGACTTACGAAGTCTGAGTTTTTTAATTGATCATGATACTGAGCTTCTTGAAAATACATATAAAGAGTTGAACAACCTCATCACAAGTCTGAAAAGTGCTGTACCTAAAGAGAGTTGTTTACCTCTACTACCCAATAAAATTAAAAAAATATCTAAACCAAAATGCTCCATTAAGTATCATAAGCTGCCAGCACCTAAAAAAAAGAGTATGCAATTTAAACGTGTTGGGGAAAAAAAGGAGAAATTGTTGGCAGCTTCCAAAATTGAAATAACGTTGAACCCAGAAAAAAAAAATGTAGAAACTGAAGTTATAAATAATAATTTGATTGACTATGAAAACATATTAGAGTTTGTAGATAACAACATAGTCATTTTCAGTGATGATGAAAATGATACAGATAAAAAAAATGATTCAGATGAAAAAAACTGTATAAGTAAAATAAATCTCAGTGAGAGTGACTTTTCAGATATATTAAACAATGAATGGCTTTCTGACAATGTTATAAATATATTTCAAAACATGATAAAAGACCAATTCAAAGAAGTAAGTGGCCTTCAAGACACTGTGCTTGGACAAAATCTTGCTTTTAGTACGCATATAAATAAACCATTTGTTCAAGTTTTGCATAATGGTTGTAATCACTGGGTAGCAATTTCAACATATAGTTGTAAACCTGGTGAGGTTTTTTTGATGGACAGTCTGTTTCATGGTAAAATTGCAAATCATACAATAGAACAGATATGTGCCATCATGAAATGCACATATGAGAAGTTAAATGTTTGTGTATTACCAGTGCAACAACAGTCAAATGGTGAAGATTGTGGTGTCTTTTCTATTGCTTTTGTTTATCATATTGTAAGTACAAAATCAAAACCAGACAATGTAACATTTTCTATACCAGAGATGAGATCACATATGTTAAATTGCATTAAAGTTAATAAAGTTTCTTCTTTTCCTCAATCGCTAGCAAGTTGCAAAAGGTGTTTTCAAAAAGAGATTTTTATTGAACTGTTTTGCAGTTGTAGAATGCCATGGAATCCCATAGAAAATAGAAATAACAATAATCAAATGGCGCAGTGTTCTCGGTGTAAACAGTGGTTCCACAAAATGTGTGAAAATGTTCCTGATTTTGTCTTCTTTAAAAAGAACCGTAGATTACCATGGTTTTGTTATTGTTGTGCAAGTGCAGTTTCATAATTATTTATTCTCTATTAAATTATACTATTCTTTGCTTTATTTAAAAAAGATTTTTTTTTAATTCAACGGCTTTATTCAACATATTTTAGTTCTTACAATTAATCATAACAAAATAATATATTCATTTGAGTTTTTTAACAGTTTAACTTTTTAATAATGTGTTTTCATTAATTAAAATTGAATATTTTAAAGTTTAATTTTAATTAAGTTTTTTGGATTATTTTAAATTTTAATCTTTACTATTATACTGTTTTTTTTAGCCTAATGTTGATATGTGGTTTTAATGTTGATATATGGTTTTAATGTTGATATATGGTTTTAATTTAGTAAATTTTTATGATTTGAAATTTACTTAATTGATCATTAGCCAACAGTTTCGAAAAACAAGTCGAACTCAACTCTATTGCGGTAAGAGCAATTGTGTTTACTTCTTTACATTAGAAAACTAATTATTGCTTTTTGTCAAGTTTTTGGAATTTTATGTTACAATTTTTTATAATAAAAATAATGATAATAATTTAAATTATAGACAAAAGTACAAGTTTTATACCAAAAGTATAAATCTTTCAGTAGATGTCAGTTCTTACAATAGATGTATCTTACACTAGAAGTCAAAAGTACATCGCTAGTTTTGTACTATAACTATAAATCTTACACTAGAAGTCAAAAGTACAACGCTGGTTTTATACTAAAGGTATAAATCTTACACTAGAAGTCAAAAGTACATCGCTAGTTTTATACTATAACTATTATTCTTACACTAGAAGTCAAAAGTACAACGCTGGTTTTATACTAAAGGTATAAATCTTACACTAGAAGTCAAAAGTACAACGCTGGTTTTATACTAAAGGTATAAATCTTACACTAGAAGTCAAAAGTACATCGCTAGTTTTGTACTATAACTATAAATCTTACACTAGAAGTCAAAAGTACAACGCTGGTTTTATACTAAAGGTATAAACTTACACTAGAAGTCAAAAGTACATCGCTAGTTTTATACTAAAGGTATAAATCTTACACTAGAAGTCAAAAGTACAACGCTGGTTTTATACTAAAGGTATAAATCTTACACTAGAAGTCAAAAGTACATCGCTAGTTTTATACTAAAGGTATAAATCTTACACTAGAAGTCAAAAGTACATCGCTAGTTTTGTACTATAACTATAAATCTTACACTAGAAGTCAAAAGTACAACGCTGGTTTTATACTAAAGGTATAAATCTTACACTAGAAGTCAAAAGTACATCGCTAGTTTTGTACTATAACTATAAATCTTACACTAGAAGTCAAAAGTACAACGCTGGTTTTATACTAAAGGTATAAATCTTACACTAGAAGTCAAAAGTACATCGCTAGTTTTATACTATAACTATTATTCTTACACTAGAAGTCAAAAGTACAACGCAAGATTTCAATCGAAAAAATTAGAATAGAAGTCACTAGTTTTACACAAACTATTACTACGGCGACCGAATCAATTTTGAAAACGAGGCGTACTTTTGACTTCTACTATATATTGCTAACCGATTGAAATATGCAACTTTAATCTAGTCAATGTAAAAGAAGTGGTAAGTAAAGCAATAACAAATCTTCAAGCGCAATCTCTGTATTTTCAAATTCCGTTCAGTTTTCTGGGGCTTTCCAATATGGCGATTTTGGCGTCAATTTTGATATTAGAGATGCGCTATCCAGTTATTATAGAGATCAGTGCTTTTGCCAAGTTTAAAAGGACAAAAGTCCTTTTAAACTTTGCATTTACAAATGCGCAATAAAAAATCCGGGGGATATTTAACTTTTCGTTGTTTTTTTTGACGGTTACCGAAGTCTATTATTACGCCATTTTTTTCGGCATTTCGGCTTTTCGGCGTTTTAGAATTCGGCTTTTTAGGCGATCCCCGTAATCTACTACGCTTGACTTGAACATTTTTATGAAAATCTCCTAACTAAGAATACTTTTCGCTAACTTGGTTAATTATAAAACATGTTGCTTTATACATTAAACTGTAGAATTAGAATTATACGATTTGCAATGGTTGTTATCTATTATTATTATTATTATTATTATTATTATTATTATTATTATTATTATTATTATTATTGTTGCTATTATTGTTATTATTATTATTAATATTATTATTATTATTATTATTTTAAATAAACTATTTTATGTTGATTTATAACCGAATTATTTATATAAAACAGCAAAAAACAATCATCAAAGTCACAATATTTTCATAATAAATAACTTTTAGACATGTTGCTCGTTTCTAATGCTTAATACACGTAACAAACACGAACATCGGAATATATGGCAGGCTAAATCTTTTCCTCTCGTTGAGCGAAATAAACAAATGCAAAGGTTTTTAACAACATCTCGAATAACCAACATTCAAATATTTCAATTTTATATAAATTTCTACTAGCATAATATAATTTATAAGGAGCGATTTTAATCGAATTTATTGAAAAATTTAAAGAATTACATTTGGAACCTAGTAAATTAAAATAATATAAGTTTTTCATATCGTCTTTTTTATTGTCCTTAAAAACCACGTGTTTTCTTTAAGTATAATTAAGACGTAACGCAAACTTTCACAATAAACGATTAAAAGTTTTCCCTCGCAGAGTCATAATTTAAATAAAAAATAAAGTTTATTGAAAATCGACCGCGTAAAAGAGCCTAATATTTCCTACTTCTGTTTTTTAAATATATTTTGCGTTGCGTAATTTATGGACGATCCCTTAAGGTCAACTTTAAAAGCACTCGATGTAGTTTGTAGTTTTAAACTCAATGCAACTAAGGCACGTTTTTCCGGACAAAAATATAAGTTTTTTCAATGACAATATATGTAAGTTTTTTTTATCAAAAAGTATGATATATATGGTATGTATGGAAAGATTATTTTAACCACTATTATAATCTAGTAAAAATAAAGCGACTATAAAAAATTGACAAGCGTAGTTTTATTTAGAAAAGATGCAATTTTCAACATAAAGTACCTTCCCAGTGGACACGGACGTAAAAAAGACGTCTTTTAAACGTCTTATTCACGTTTTAGACGTCTTTTGAACGTTCAAAAGACGTCTTTTTATAGTGCGGTACTGGGTCGGAGCTTGGCAATAAATAAGTCTATGGATTTGATTTTTTTATAAAAGCACGTATTAGTGTTTTTTTAAATGAATGTTACGTTACATTTATAATCAGACATTATTTGGCAAAATTTTCCGTGAAAAATCATTTTTTTATGAAAATTGAAGTTATTATTTTCAATGACACGCCTAAATGAGTTGTGTTTAACAATGATGTCACGTTAGATTCAGATAAACTATGGTAGTGTTAATTTTTCTACTTTAGTCGTTTTTGAATAAATAATAACAACTTTTAGCCCCATACAAAAAACTGTTTTTGGTATTTAGTATTATTTTTTGAAATAGTTAAAATTTATTCGGACATTTTAAATAATAACCATTCAAAATGCGTAAACAATAATAAAACGGAGGCGGTAAAATTTGTAAACAAATTACTTTCATTTTCAAACTCGTTCCGTTTTTGATTATGTGCAACTTAAGTTCCACTCAATCAAAATTTGACGCAATTTTAACAAGAATTGCTTCAAATAAAAAAAATATCATTAAAACATCAAATTGGTTTTTGCCTGACGTCAGTTCCTTATTTTAATGTTTACATAACTGTTTTTTTTATGTAATTAACTACATATATTAGGGATTATTTGTATTTTAGCTTTATTTTACGTCTGACGAACTAATCGGACAGAAAGATTAAAAAAATTAACAAAAATACTTATGTTTTTGCAACATATTTAAAAACCAAGTACTGCAATAAAAGTCATTGACACGCTTTATGAGCCAAGAAATATATTAACGGTAAATTATTTTATTATCTATATCTTGTTATATGTTATCTGTTATATTTTATATATGAGATGGCAACATTTAAAACTAGAATACACATGCCCACTTTTCTCTAACTCGAGTTAGAAAAACTGTCTAACTCTATAATCTATAACTTTACCTTTTATGTTCTTTTGTCCTTCTAAAAATTACTTATTCTTGGTCCGTTGAGGCGAGTTGTGCTTTTTAGTAACTTCCCAGCCGTCACAACTCAGAAAAAAGTTACCCTTGCGTGTTTAAAACCTTATATAACAAAAAGAATAACACGTGTCAAAAATGGTTTTCATTCCGTTGAATTATTACTGTTCACCGATAAAATATTACTTATTTCACGGAATTTTACGGAAAGATATAAAATAATACTACGGAAACGTAGTATTATTTTATAACTATCCTTAAGGAATGTGAAACCACAAATATCAGCATGCAACATTTAAATTTGACATTAAAACCTCAAAAAAAAAGGTCTTTAACTTGAGTAAAACTACCCTTAATATACACGTGTTTTTGGTTTACGCCTGGATCGTGTCAAATATTAAAAAGAATAATGTACAACTGTAATAATAAATTTTATTTAAATAAAATATTACGATAAAATATTTAAATAAAATATTATTATTATTAAGTATATTAAAAATATTGAAATAAAATATTACGATAAAAATATTATTGAATAAAATATTGTAATTAAATAAAAAATCTAAATAAATTTTTGGAAAGAATAATGTACAACCGAATCTACTCTTATTTTGTTGAAAATAAAATTCTATACGAAAACCAGTTTAGTTTCAAAAAAATAATTCAACCGAGCATGCCATTCTTCAACTTACGCGCAATATAAATGACTCATTTAAAGACTCTTGTTTTACACTACGAGTGTTTATTGATTTGTCAAAGACATTTGATACCGTCAATCATCAAATCCTGTTAAAAAAACTAATATCATATGGTACCCTATTATGGTTTGAAAGTTACTAACCGTAAACAGTTTGTTTACAATAAAGACTCTATATCTCATCTATTAATGAATATAACATGTGGTGTTCCACAAGGATCCATACTTGGTCCTCATTTTTTTAATATACATAAATGATCTTCATAAATCATCAAATTTAACAACAATAAATTTTGCAGATGACACAATTTTGTTTTTGTCTCATAAAGATATTAATATGATTTTTACTAATATGAATAATAAATTAAAAAAAGTTTCTGTTTGGTTTAAATAAAATAGATTTTTTTATCCACCTTTTTTATCCAACAAAAGATACTAAATTTCTCGCGGTATATATTGATGAAAATCTGTCTTGGAGAAATCATATTGATAATACCTCCAATAAAATTGCTAAATGCATCGGAATTCTCTATAAAGCAAGAAATTTATTAAATAAACACCAGTTAACACAATTATATTATTCATTTATACATAACATAACACCAATTCCAAAAATTTCTAACTCGCACTCGTCTAATGACTATCGTCCGATTGCCATTACATCCACATTGTGTAAAGTTTTTGAACATATTATCACCAAATTCATTACCCATTAAACCAAGCACTTATGGGTCTCAAACAAACATTCCTTCCAGGCCGAAGTACAATGGATGCTATTATTCAAATTATAGAGAAATGGAGTCATGCAAAAGATAACAACAAACCAATTTATGCAACATTCTTTGATTTCGAAAAAGCTTTTGATCTACTTCTAAAGTTAGTAAACTTACTACCTAGCTGGCTCACCTCCTAGATTGCAGCTTACTTATGTAACAGTCAACAAAGAATTAAAACAAATTACATTTCATTGTAATTGATCACACCACTGAATGGAAATGTATTGAAGCCGGTGAACTTTAGGGTAGTGTTTTAGGTCAAATCCTGTTCATTCTATTTATTTCCGAAATTAACGTCTATCTTCCACCTGAAACCATCCTCAAAAAATATGCTGATGACATTCTGACCTATATAATTATTAATAAAGTTCCTCCAAACCTACCTCAATCCATTGTTGATGGTGTATATATATATATATATATATATATATATATATATATATATATATATATATATATATATATATATATATATATATATATATATATATATATATATATATATATATATATATATATATATATATATATATATATATATATATATATATATATATCATTTGATAAAGTTATAATGAAACTAAAATAAACTAGTAGTTATATGGAGATGCATATAGTTATGCTTTTTCTGTGATCTTTTTGACCTGTAAAAATGGCAATATTTTTGTGCAACTGTCGATTCAGTATGAAATAGCAGCTCTATATGATCTTGGCTAAAGTAGAGTAAGATAAATATATCAAAAGTAAATAATAAAACTGGAAAGAAACTAAGTATGCTATTACTTTGGTGCTTCAAAAATGCCTGTAATGACACCATACTGAACTTTCACACATGAGGGCCAGATCAATCAATATCTGCTTCTGTACACAAAGCTGATTTTGTATTTCTTCTTTGAACACAACTACTGATTTATGAGGAACAGTAAAGTTTCTCTACATAGAGCAGTTATCAACGTTTGTCAAATCTTGATATTTATTTTTTGACAGAATTCTATAAAAATATTGACTAATGAAACAAAAAAATCACTAAAGTAATGCTATTACTCTAGTGATTTCGTTACTTTATTAGTCAATATTTTATAAAACATATTTTAATGATATATATCATTGCTTTGTGAAATTTCATGCTTGGTGTAGCATGACGTACCTATGAAAATTAATGCTATCATCACAATATATTACAAGATATCTCGTATGCAATATATATGCGTATGCGATATTATCAAGATATCTCGTATGCAAAACAAATCATGTCAAATTTAATCTTTTTATCAGCTTTATGGCCTACACTCGGTATAAATCATGCAAAGTTAAAAAAAAAAAAAGATTATTTAATAAATATGTTTTTTTTTTTAATGTTGATTTAGGCGCCGCAAGAAGTCCTTACGGTCTTATCACAGAGCATCGCGGAAGAGCATTTAATAGGAAGTTCACGTATCCTTCCCAACCGCTGTCGCAAAACTTGCTCAGAGGTGGGTTTGAACCACGGATCTTACGTTTTCGAGGCAAGTGCGCTACCACTGCGCCACGGCTTCTTAAAAATATGTATTTTAAATACACCGACGACATCGGGGCAGAGGGCACGTGTCCCCCCACGTGTATATATTATATTATATACTCATATGAACACACACACACATACGCTTGTAAATATATATTAATTTTTAATTGTTTAAATAGAGATAAAAACTCACAACACTTGGTTTTACTTTCTCAAGAAGCTTATATACTATTTGAAATACATTAACTTCTAGTATCGTGTTGAGGTACAGCTATCTGAATGTCTATTTTAGTATTCCAAATGTTATTAGAATAAACTGAAAAAGGTAATCAGTTAGCAAATAATTCTTTATAAGATAGTAAAAGCTGCCAAACATAAACTGACGAATAATTCATTTATTTGGTGCAATCTTCTGACTAAAATTTAATAAATTTTTGAGTAAACTCCTTAAGTTCCGCGAAATGTTTTGGGTTAACAAGCGGTTGTTTTGAAAACTGGCTTCAAAAAAGTCACGTGACACCGTCTCCAGTTTATTATAAACCTCCTTGGCCCAGCCACTGATCTCTATAATAACTATTATTATAGAGATCAGTGGGCCCGGCTAATGGTTGTAATATCGTTAAATATGGTAACCATGTTTACGTTTTGTACAAAACGTTGTTGGTGTAAACATTTAAAATCAAAATGGTTTACACTTTTTTCTTCTTTTGTAAATGTTATAAAATGAAGGAAAAAGCATTTTTCTAATTTAATTTTTTTTAATGCGAAAAATGGTAAAAGTCTAGAGAAAAAAAATTTTTTTTTTTTAATTATTGCAAAAAAATTTTCTGTAAATGTTTTCTTCCACTTGTATAATAATAATAATAACAATAATAATAATAATAATAATAATAATAATAATAATAATAATAATAATAATAATAATAATAATAATAATAATAATAATAATAATAATAATAACAACAACAACAACAACAACAACAATAATAGCAATAATAGCAATAATAATAATAATAATAATAATAATAATAATAATAATAATAATAATAATAATAATAATAATAATAATGATATTAAGAAGAAGAAGAAAAAGAAGAAGAAGAAGAAGAAAACCTATTTCCTGTATGCCCATTAAAAAGTAATGTTTTAACAGTGTTTGTATCCAAAGTTTTTTCTTTGAAAGTATAAATGTGTGTATACTTTTTTTGATAAGTATAAAATTATTACTTTACTTAAACCATACTGGTGTAAACATAGGCGATTTTACACCCCTTTCCTTTGGAAATTAAGTCTTGTTAGTCATCAGTTTACAATGTTATGTGCCATAGGTTTAGAAGGTCAAATGATAGTATTATAAAGGTTTATTTAATCATTATTTATTGGTATCATGTTTTATACAAATAAAATATTGATTTTATTAATCATAAAATTACTTTGTGAATTTTAAACTATGATAGTAATAGAACTTTTATAGAACTTAATTTTTAGGAAGTCTTATGCATTTTTTCTGGTTGTAGCAGATAAGGGTGCAATGTAAAATTGTAAAAAAAGGTAGAACTTAAATGTTAAATTAACTCTCTTGTAATATAGTGAATTTTAAAATTATTGGATTTATATATATTTAATAAATTACTTATAAATATATAAATATAATATAATAATAAATATATATATATATATATATATATATATATATATATATATATATATATATATATATATATATGTATATATATATATATATATATATATATATATATATATATATATATATATATATATATATATATATATATATATATATTATTTAAAAGGTAAAGTTTATTTATATTTTTTGTAATGCTATTTGTATAGAATTGCAAATGAAAAACTTACAGGTGTATATTTTTTCACTGAATTTTATTGAATAATTCTAGTAAACTTATGTTTGTGTAATAATTTATGTAAATTTAGAATTTTATTTAGTCTACCAGTAGTTTTTCAAAAATTACAGATTTTTTAAAAATTTATTGAAAATGATTTTGAGTTTCAATTGATTAATTATTTTTTTGTTATAGCCATGTTAAAATCAGAATAACAATTTTAAACTCATGTTTAGCTAGAATTTAAAATTTCCATTTTAAATTTAATTAGTTCAATAATTTTTGTATACCATGTCATTTATTATTAATTGTTGTTAAATTATAAATTGTTGTAAAAAAAATGTATAAAAAAATAAATACATTTAAAAAGTTGTTTTAAATGGGATAAAGTGAATTCAATTGTTTTGACCTGCAAATATTCAAATTTTTAAAGAAAATAGCAAAGGGTAAAGTTGATAATTAATGATAATAATAATAATAATTAATAATAATAATAATAATAATAATAATAATAATAATAATAATAATAATAATAAAAGCTTTAATAATTTCAATTAAAAAATCTAATTGCTCTCATAAGTAAAAAAAAAGTGTGCGGGCAAATTAAAGTAGAGGTTTCATTGTTTCCCTATTCAAGTAGTGCTATCCAAATTAATTTAACTTTACTAATTTGTGTTGCTCTGTTTCTATTGTTGTTAATTATTTCATTATAATATTATACACTGATGAATTTATGAAAATAAATATTTTCAAATTTTTTAGAATACTACTTTAAATGGTTGCGATCAAATACATATTTATTACTGTCAATATTATACTATGTCTTTCATTTGGATTTGGTGTGCTTGCGTTTTACAAAATCGGAAAACCATATGTACGGGGTTATTATTGTTTTGATGAAAGTATAAGCAAGCCATTGAAAAATGATACTGTTACTGTTTCTGCTTTGCTTGCTTTCGTTTTTACTCTTTATCCTGTGTGTATTATTATAGTAGAAGGGATTAAAATGAGCAACAAAGTAAAAATTATTTCGACAAATTTTATAATAAAGGTTGTTCGTCATGTTTTACATAATCTCTGGATTTTTATTTATGGAGCTGGAATAACAATGTTTATCACTGATGTTGGAAAATATTCTATTGGTAGGCTTCGACCCCATTACCTTACTCTGTGTAAACCAGATTGGTCAAACATAAATTGTAGTTATACTTTTGGAGGTAAAGCTTTTATTGTTGGTGACGATTTCTGTCGGGTACCAAACAGAGCATTACTAAAAGATGCAAGAATGTCTTTCCCATCAGGACACACATCCTTTGCAGGTGAAAATGAAACTTTATATTTGTTTATTCTATATTTTATTTAAATTTTTAAATATAAAGATAATATTAACATATTCTAGGTTGCAATTCTGTTGTTGTATATTATAATTTTTTTACACAGTTTATTGTGCAACATTTATGATTTTGTACCTTCAATTATATCCGTTCTCAATACCTCAGCGTAGAAGATTTTCCTTTTTGTTACTATTTATTCAAGTAATTTTATCTTGTTTGGCCATTTTGACTGGGTTGTCTCGCATTTCAGATTATAAGCACCATCCTACTGATGTAATTGCAGGTGGAATTGTTGGATTGGCTGTAGCATTTACTATTTTTTTTAATGTACTCAAGTATGTTGATCTATCTTCGAGTGAAAAAACGTTATCTTTGATCCCCAGTTACCACCGTCAGTTACCACCAGTTACCAATGATCGCCAATTAAACGACATTGTGGTTAAGTAATAATTTAAAAAGTAATTTTTCATTAAGTTGCAAATCATATTTTGTAACATAAAATAGTTTTTTAAAGTGTCTGGCACACAATTTTTTATTTTTTTTAGGTTATAACTTAAATTTTTTACAAAGAAAACAGAAAATTAAATCGCATTTTGATTTTTTTTTTTTTCGTAAACTTCACAAAATTTTTTGGTGCACTCAGCAGAACTTAACTCAAATGTTAACTCCCCTGCAAGTAAAAATATCCAATTGGAAAAAAAAATTAATGAAAATTCAAAATTTAAACTAAAAATCAAATTTTTTCTTTTTAATAAAAATTATAAAGATTAAAAAAAAAATCTCGGAAAAAAAAATTTCCTACTACTTAATAATCAAATACATAAAAGTTAAAATATTTTTTTTAATTAAAAAATGATGTAATCCCATATAGCCTAATTTCTAGCAAATTCGCATAAAATTTCTGTGAGAATCTAAGCAAGGGTCACAAAATTTTAATCAAATTTTTTTTTGCGTTCGTACTTATTAGGGATGGCTCTTTTACTTAATTGGATAACGTAATTACGTTAAGAAACGTAAATTAGCTGAAAGTGTAAGTTACTTTACATAACATATATTAAAATATATAATTTTTTTATACATAATGTAAAATTTTAACTACTTAAATATAGTTTTTAAATGCGTTACCGTTACTTAAAAAAATAATTTATTTTTACAAGTAAAAGTAATTTGCATAAAAATGTTATTTACTTTTACTTTTAATGGTAAGTCATTTAAAGTAATGTACTTAATAAAGTAATTTAGATTTTAATTATGTAAGAAATTTACATTGAATACATTTCATTTTATCAGTGGCGGATTAAGACTTCTTAGGGCCCGGGGCTTTTTTTGTTTTTGGAGGCCTTTTTATGGGCCAAAGCCTAAAAATGACTAAAAAAAAAAGTCCTCTGAAATTTTTGGGGGCCCCTAAAATTGCGGGGCCCGGGGCTATAGCCCCCCCTCCTTGATCCGGCACTGCATTTATTTGTTGCATGTATAAAAATTACATAAAATTAATTTGAAAAAATTTTTTATTTACAATTATAAATAAAAGTAAATGTTGTATTTACTAATGTTATATTATTTACTTTCTTAAACAACAGTCATTTCATGTTTATTTAACACAAATTTTGAGATATGTAGCGTATTCAAAACCATAGCCTGTTTCTAGGCACTTCTGGGTAATTTGTTTGTGGACTGTGTTTGTGGTGGGTAATTGGGATATCTTTTCACGTATATTATGATGGGGGATTCTATTATAATTGCCTAATATCGTCAACATGCGGTTGTACCAATAATGTAGGACGGTTCCCAGCAGCGTGAGACCCACGCAAATAGAAACAAGGACTCCTAAATAATAATTAATTTTTTTTTTTCAATTATTTGAGCAGAAACAAGTTAGCGGCCATAATGAAACTTTTGCGGGAGAAGGGCATAATTTCTTCCTACGCAACTGGTTGCTCCCCATGCATGCAAATCTGACTAAGTCACTGTTCCATTAAAGTGCGCTTTTTCTACTGTTTTTTTTTTAGTTTGAATTTACTTTTTTGATCAAATATTTTATTATGTCAATATGACGTAATGTAACATGTTTGGTATCCGCGGGGACGTGCTAAAACAGTTTTCAAGAGATTATAAACCATGTAAACATCTGATATAATCTGATTTTATAAAAGACGTTCTTGTCAGATATAATCTTTTATTGAGTTTTATCAGATATATCTAAAAAATGAATGTAAAGAAAGCCAGTCAACCTTCTACGAAAGGTTGCAGGCACACCAATAACTTTTTTTTCGATAGCGTTGGTGTTCAACCCTCCTATGGAAAATTAGAAAAATAAAAGGCCTTGAAAAAGTTAATATATATATATATATATATATATATATATATATATATATATATATATATATATATATATATATATATATATATATATATATATATATATATATATATCGCGAGGTTAGAATTATTTTGTTCTATCTCCACTTTTTGAAAAAAATGAGTTATTAATTGTGTAATGTACCTCAAAATAATGTTTTTCTACTATATTAAAACCTAAGTTAAAATCAAAAAAGTTTCGGAGAAAACATAAGTAATAAAAATCTTTTTATATGCCGTCTCCTAAAGTTTTTATTTTTTAAATCGTTTTATCTCGAAACGATGTGGAGATATATATATGTGTATATATATATATATACACATATATATATATACATATATATATATATATATATATATATATATATATATATATATATATATATATATATATATATATATATATATATATATATATATATATATATATATATATATATATATATATATATACACACATATATATATATATCAAATATATATTTATATATCATTCTGAGTTCTCAAATTGTTATATCAAATTTGAGCTCAAATTGATATAACTGTGTGATTTCATTTTGATATCATAGATCTCATAGTATGAGATCAATAAGATATAATTATCATATCAAATGGCTCACTGGGATGTTTGCATTAAAAATGTTCTTATTTTCTAATAATCACCCCATATCAAAGTTGACAGTTATTTGAAAATGAGGGCGCTTAAAGAATTAGTGCCCCAGGGCGCCAAAAACACAAATACGGCTCTGTACATATATATATATATATATATATATATATATATATATATATATATATATATATATATATATATATATATATATATATATATATATATATATATATATATATATATATATATATATATATATATATATATATATATATATGTATATATATATATATATATGTATATATATATATGAAGCTAAAAAAGAGACTTAAACAATATTTAAAGTCTTTAACGCGTGAGAAAATTGTAACAGCAAATATTTTTCGAACTGCATATAAAGTGGCAATAGGAAATCAGTCTTTAAATAACTTTGAAATGGAAATTGATCATCAAGAAATTATAGGAGTTGAAATGGGTTGTATTCTTCTACAAACTCGTTCGTTAATATTGTCAATCAATAAGTAACGAAATGAGGAAAAAAATATTGCCTTAAAATTCTTAAAAGTCTTAAAATCAAAGAGCAAAATTTTGTTAATAATGGATGAGTCAACTACTATAAGCCAAAAATTGCACTGATAGTGTATGAAGCGCTAGTGAATCATTTAGAAGTGGTTAGTCTCTATTACAAATTTGCTTCAGTTTTTGTACAGAATCTCCATTTCCATGGAATTTTATTCCACAATAAAAGTTCTAAAAATGATTCGGCTATCGATCTGAACGCCTTTTAAAAAAAGAACAGAGCAATAATAAATTTGAAGAAAATCATTCATCAAACATTTTTCATTTAACACTCCGTTTCATCATTAAAGACTTATCAGAAACACAGTGTTGATGAAACAGTTTTAAATGAAAAAAGTTAGATAAGTGATATATATATATATATATATATATATATATATATATATATATATATATATATATAAATGAAAAAAGTTAGATAAGTGATATATATATATATATATATATATATATATATATATATATATATATATATATATATATATATATATATATATATATTTATCTTCTCATTGTCAATAATATTGTTCGCATGGTCATTTATGAATTTATATAATTTAGGAACTCTGTCCTAAGAAAATAATTTTAATGAAACAGGATTATACATCCCTCAGTTGCTCGCTTCATTGTTTCATGAACATCCACTGTCCTTAAGGCTATTGATTATAAACAACACACTTAGTGACTGAAGTAACTATACTTACCTTGTCAAAATGGTGTTTGGATCATTTAGTAATAATACAAGGAGTTATAGAGGTTTTAATTCATTTGGGTATGTTAATATAAATTGTTATCTGAAATTGAGTTACTCAATTTGAGTTACGCCAAAAACACATGGTGATGCTACCTATTTAAATGATTAAGAAAACCTGAAATGCTTTATGCATTTTGCTTCTTAAACAATTCTATATACAGTTTGTCAATAATGGTTAGTGACTTGACGATGGTCGTAGTCTGAAGAAGTAATTGATGATAAACTTACAGGATTTAGGTATAACGTGACTCAATATGATAAATAACTGGAGGATGATAAATCTATATGTTTGTTCTAAAATTAATAATAATTATAATATATAAAAACAAAATAAAATAATATATAAAAACAAAATATATTAATATATTCATAAAATACAATTGTATATTTGTTTAACAAATTATATTTATTAAACAAATAAATGGGACAATTATATATTTCAATACGAATATATTCGAACACTACAAACAATTTAAACGAACATTTTTGACAAATATTTGTTAACGAATAATTTCAACGAATATTCTCTAACGAGTTTTCGTATATCGATATTCAAATAATCGTTTCTCTCAAAACAATAGAGTTCTTTTATCAGAAAAAGTAAACAATGATAACACACATTTTTTCGGACATCTTGATTATGCTAAAAGAGTTTATAGCATAATTTTGCGACTTGAAATTATGAAATTGTGATATCCGAACAAGTTCAAGTTGATTTTGTTTTTCAAGTTAAAAGAGATCACGATAACTTTGAAGAAACCTGTGCTAATTATAACAACTACCATCACGAAAAAATCTACTGTTTGTTGAAAACTCATTTTATCTCATTAAATATAAAACTTAAAATATATAAACATAAAAACTAATATATATATATATATATATATATATATATATATATATATATATATATATATATATATATATATATATATATATATATATATATGTATTGTTGTTATTAAAGTGCTCCCAGATGTCCTTACGGTCTTATCACAGAGCGCACCGGAAAAGCATTTAATTAGGAAGTTTACTCCTCCTTCGTTACCAATGTCGCTTATCCGGCAAGAACCAGCGTCGAACCACAGACCTCTTGGTTCTGAGCACGAACTCTATCCACTGCGCCGCGGCTGCATGATTATTAGACTTCTAATAGCTGAGTATGGCCCCTGAAACCGAACTGTTTTACGTGCTATAAAACCTTTTGTTTATAACATTTCAAACTCCATCTTAATTGATAAAATTATATATACAATAAACGATGTCATGTTGGTTGTGGAATATGAT